CAAGGCGGATACCACCAGGAGGAGCACAGCTGGGCTGAGAAACTGCCATGGTACTGATGCCTGATTACCAAATATCCCAATCATTAGTGTGCACATAGCAGCTCCTAGGATGTTGCCGACGTTGGAGTTATTAGACCATATACCAAAGACTGTGCCGTAATACTTGGGGAGGAAGTACTGACCGACTATGACAACTGAGGCCGGCCAACATCCGGACTGGAAAACGGCGTTGACAACCCACACTACGTAATAAAAATAATACCATCCACTTTGCGTTGCCCAATCAACCATTCCACCGAAGATGACTTGAGTGACACAACAGAGCGCAGCCATTAGGAAGTAGACTCTAACAGGACGGTAAATGTCCCCTAGCGGTCCAGTGAAGAACATACCAATAGCATAAAATACCAGGAAAAGAGTATTCATAATGCCAAAGAAGGTAGTAGAGTAACCATAGTATTCCTTCATGTTGGGTGTAGCATTAGAGAAAGCCTTTCGCACAGCATGCAGACAGACGTAGGTCAAAAAGGTCCATGTAACAGCCGACCATTGATAATATCTCTCACTGTGTCGTGGATGAGACGATGTAGATGACTTACTGAAGAGAACCGTCATTCTCACAAACAGTCAATAACTCGAAGGACACACTGTGATATACCCGAATTGTGAGGCAAAATACTAAGATATTTTGCGAAGAATAGGCGGAAGAACCAGGGCAAGACTCCTCCAAAAATAACCACCCTCGCTACCAGTATCGGCGTTTCCTACGCTCGTGTAACTTTTGTGTAAATTTTTCCCGTGAGATTTTCCCACGATTTCGATACGACGGAGTGGTGAATTTCGAGATGTATTCACGGCTGAGAATTTCGCTGAACAGGTAAGCGAAATGTGAATGTGCTTCCTAAAAAACCATCACATATGCTGGTTTCGCGATTTTGAGGTTACCTAAGGGCATCATATTAACGGATACGCAAGTTAGTTTAACGACGCGGTTTTAATGAGGATTCCAATATCGTGATTTCATGATAAAGTGAATTAACTTCGCCTGTAAGGACTTCAATTGAGGGAGACAACCTTGAGTAGAAATCTTGGCACAAAATCTTCGCGCTGCGGGACACAGTCTGCCAAGACGGAACAGAAAATTTGTAAGAATTTTCGTAAGATCCTTAACCTCCTTATTTCGAAATAGCCTTACGCTCCTCTGCCTCCTTAGGAGCGCCTCCTCACATAAAGGGAGCCCTCCTTCCTTATGAATCTTACGCTCCTCCCTCAAGGAAGCCCTCCCAAGTTATAGGGCCAAATCGGTCCGGCCAATAGTTCTGCCGATTACAACGTTCCTTACCATACAGGCAATACATTGTTAGATCATCACGCTTCTTTGCTCTTTAAAAGGTGGTGGAGGAGGCCTTCGATCGACTTCTTCTCGTTCAGACGACCTCAATAGTTCTGCATTGTGTCGTTGTTCGTCGCCCGAAACGGTTGTCCCTTGTCCCCTTTCCATTCTGATCAAATCTATTCCTCCAGTGTTGGAGGAAGTGTGGTATCATATCAGAATATGCCTTTCACTTCGACGACAACTCGTATTGACAGACTCGCATAAAGGTCTCCATCTCCTCCTTAAGAGCAGATAAACGTGATGATCTAATCACGTATTGCTTGAGTGATAAGGAACTTCTCAATTGACTCGCGTGAACATTTCTTAAGAGATTTATGGCGTGCGCGGTATCAAGTAAATACGCGCTCGCCCAGTTAGGTTTTTTAAGGACTTTTTCTCGTCACAGGTCTTAGAGCCAGAGATTGAGGTGTTCTGCTGTTAGTAATGAACCCATACACATCTTCTTATGACAACAATGATCAGAGGCCTTCCTCGCGTCCTACTAACTCTAGACCCGCCCCGATGGTCACGGCCACTGTATTGAGCGTTGGAGGGAGGCCAGTACAGGTACTACCAACTACTGTGCTGAGATCGCCAAAGTATCTACTGTATCACACGCGTGTCACCACTACTGTACCGAACGATTTTGGTAGTGTCAATAAATCCGAATCTGGAACTAATTCTCATGATGATGAAACGGCTGCCATTATTCATAGTAAATGTTCAGAATTCCCGACCATCTAGTGGAGTTGTCTACGACATCAACGGGAATATGATCTCATCTGGCCAAGGCCCTTCACCCTACCCCACCGTTCTCGGTACTGTCATACAGCCCTCCGCCCCACCAGCGCCTCTCCAAGTAATAGGATTATCATTATCAACTGTGTGATGGTAGACCCTTCAGGTTCCCCCTTCCAATATGCAGTCGGGCATTCATTCAGTCCATTCAAACATGTCACTATTGTACACTAGTTCTAAAGCTGAGGAGCACGCCGAATGCGCGGTCTGTTATGACACGCTACCTGGTAGTAGTAGTAGTAGTAGTAGTAGTAGTAGTAGTAGTAGTAGTAGTTTTAGTAGTTTTAGTAGTTTTAGTAGTTTTAGTAGTTTTAGTAGTTTTAGTAGTTTTAGTAGTTTTAGTAGTTTTAGTAGTTTTAGTAGTTTTAGTAGTTTTAGTAGTTTTAGTAGTTTTAGTAGTTTTAGTAGTTTTAGTAGTTTTAGTAGTTTTAGTAGTTTTAGTAGTTTTAGTAGTTTTAGTAGTTTTAGTAGTAGTACTAGTAGTACTAGTAGTACTAGTAGTACTAGTAGTACTAGTAGTACTAGGAGTACTAGGAGTACTAGGAGTACTAGGAGTACTAGGAGTACTAGTAGTAGTATTACTGTTAGTAGTTCGCTTCACTCAGTGGAGCTGAGGAGTTTCCTCGCAACACTTTACATATGAATTCGGGTAGAAGTGTTCAGAACTAATGAGAATTTTCTCATAATTTTCATACCGTCACCGACCAACGTAGTTGACCATGTGCATATTTTCTCCCACTCCTTTCCCCCCTTGTTCAGTCTGCCTTAGGTAAAGCTGAGGCTCCCGTTTGCGTTCTCACTGGCCCCGACAGCCGCCGAGTTTGTCCTCATTACTTCCACGTTGAATGTGTGAAGTATATGATGAGCTCAGATCAGAATTCATGTCCACTTTGCAGGTAGTGTGGAAATGGGCACTTCGGCGTTTCATCCTTTGCAAAAGGGCCCATCCTTGTAATTTCGTGTCGCGTGACGGTTGATGAACAAAATTGGTATTATTTTTTGAAAGGCGATTATTCCTTATGTGACGGTAACTCAGTGCACAATACGGATATCAGAATCGTTCATACAGCGTTGAAGAGAGCTCGATGAGGCCTTTTCATCAATTGTCACGCGCCGCGAAATCAAAAGGATTGGTATAGGTTTTCTTCAGGACACCCTACGTCTACTATCTCCCCATTCCAGATGTCGATAAGGACCCACAGGCCTGGTTCCGGGTAGTGCCTTCGTGCTGTACTTCTCTTGAGAAATTTCGATCAGGCAGTTGATTTGAATGGTGACGGTAAACTTGACAAACAGGAAGTGATGTTTGTGCTAAAGTCAACTCTGCCTATAAACTATCAACGGCTCGGTAGTGTATAACTGGTGGCGTGGTATGTAGTGAATCGATGTGATCTCAGAGAAAGATTTCGACAAATTGTTCCGGAGGTGGGACACCAGTGGTGACGGTTACATTCAATATAAGGAGCTCATGGGCCCCACAGGGCTCGTCAACTTCGTCAGGTTAGATTATGTGGAAAAAAATTTTTTTGGAAATAATTTTCGCTTAGGAAAAATTTCAGACGAGGCACGAAAGACTTGGAAAATGGTGCAGGGTGCATGCCAAGCTTGAGGAGCAATAAGGTTGCCTGGTTCGAGTAAGCTCAACATAGTTATAGCGGATGGATACAGTAGTGGAGTCTCACCCGTTTGTGGTGTAGTGGTGTAACTTATAGGGTGTACATGTTTTCGCGACCGATAACGCAATTTTTTTCCACGAAGTGAAATGTGAAATATTTTTTCACTAGTTTTCTTAACATCATGGGTGAAACTTAATTTTACTACATTTTTTCAATTTGAATGAAAAGTTTGAAGAGCTAGCGGGAAAATGTATTTCGCCACTACTTTTTTTCACGGAAAATTACGACACTCTACGTAAAACTGGTGGAAGTCCATTGAACGTGAGTTGGAATTCACAGTAAATAGGACCAAATTCAACCAAGAAAAGTTGATGGTGTGGTATGGCAGGTATTGGGATGAAGATCGGAATGGCGTATTGGATAAGGAGGAAGTCACTCGAGCTCTCATTAAAACGTTTGCGTGGCAGAGGGCTTCTTTGGAGCAAAATTCGGTATAAAATTTTCGAAAATTTTCGAGAATTTTCTGCTATTTTTTTCTGGTTTTTTTCAGACGGCCCGTATGATTATTGATGCATTATGGAGCGATTTCGATGTTGATGGTGATGGAACAATCGATAGTAGAGAATTTTGCCGGTAGTAATGGTAGAGATTGCACATGGTCAACCACATGTGTTGATGGCAATATGAAAATTCTGGGAAAATTTTGGGAATTTATGAGCTCAGTTGAGGACAGTGTAGGAAAATATGCATATGGTCAACCACATGTGTTGGTGACAATATGAAAATTTTGAGGAAATTTTCGGGGATTTCTGCTGACTTCTAATCCGATTCGTAGATAAGCTTTTAGTGAGGAAATTTATGAGCTCAGCTGAGGAAAGCGCACATGTATTTCTGTAGAGAGGTCGTCAGACTAACTGAATAGTAGATCGCGATGACGATCCAACGTCTTGTCTACTACTTATGTAACACATATATATATTGCAAAGCTAGGCTAGGATATGAACGGCACAATGGGGACAGACATACTTTGTGTGCTAGGATACTCATCCTACATTGCAACACTGAAAGTAGTGGTGAATTGAAAGAGGTTTAGGTCCGATACGGGTTTGGCCGACACGTTCCTCGCTAACACCCCTCCATTATGATTCCACGAGAGTGTGGTAGTATTCCTTTTGTAACGAGCGGTTGAGATTTCATCACCACATATACCAATTTCTGATTCTCCCGTACGCCCAAGTTGTCCGCTTTAAAAGATGTTCGAATTTGAGTTGAGTTTATTCGCATCGGTGTCGAGTGCTGTGTATTTTTTTGGGAGGTGCAAGGTGTGGGATTCGAACTTGGGACCTTTCGGGTGGATTAATGTTAGTTGTTATCATTGGAGTTCCATGTGTGGTATGGAAAATGTATTTCACGACTAGTGCATAGCGCGAATATCGCGTTATTTTTCACAGAGTATTATGTTACTTCACGTAAAATGGGTAAAACTGCTAAGTATCGAATGAGAGTCAAGATGGATGATTCTCCGTAAGCTCCAGACTGGTGACGGCTCGGGAGTTTTTGGCAGTAGAATAGTTTGAAAAGAAAAGGTAGTAGCATAGGGAGTGCTGGGCAACTACGGTGCGAATCAAACCCTTATGGGTGTTGGATCTCCGGGAGTTCGAGAGTAAACTTCGGGTAATATGAACATAATGAGAATGTGAATCGATTGTCAACATTTTAAAAGCGTTCCGTAGTGCCTTTAGTTGACGAATTATTCGAATAACTGTTTGGTTCTCCCTGTATAGTTCATGGCGTAGATTTATTGAGCCACCGAGAAAATGGTAGAAGTGGATGCGGTGGGGGTCTGTCCTCCAATATACAGTACATTGCGATTTCCACGATCGCTCTGGAGAAAAGTCACTGCGATGGTAATGGAGTCGATTCCACACTTTTTATCGGTGTAGGAAAATATGCACATAGGCTAGTTAGCCCACTAGAGCTGCAACATATATAAATTATTAACGTAGTAGTAGTGGCGAAGTTTTTTTTTCACGAGAAGTAACTTTGCCACTACCAGACTGATCGATGTTTCTATTGAAGTTGATCCGATTGTGTTGAAGTGTATTGGTTTTCCGTAGTTTATTCGCCCTTACCTTGATGGCTTCTAAAGACACGTATAAACTAGCAATCACTGCTCTAGCGTGTGCTGTTACTTCAGCATTCACGTGAGGTGTGGTACTAATATGTAGATTCACTTGGTGGTAGATACAAAACGTATCAAGATGTATATGGTAATGGAGGGAAAAAAGAAGCGGATAAGTTTATTGAGGTTCTCGATCCTGCACTGGAACTGGTACACTATGGGTTTCGCAGGGAAAAATATTCAGTTTCACGAGCGATTGAGAAAAAAAATTATTTCCAGGAGTGATTGGGGAAAAAATTCATAGTTTTGCGAGTGATTGAGAAAAAAATTATTTTTACGAGTGTTTGGGAAAAATTTTTGGTTAAATTAAGCTCCTGAATTTCCGAATGAACTGAGTGTAACAATATTTTTTTCGGTATTTTTATTGACCCATGGGAAAAATGGTACCGAAAAAAATAAAACTTTAAGAAAATAAACTTAGCGGTAAAAAGTTTATGACATGGAAAAGTTCCATAGTGTTTTTGAGAAAAAAAAACGTAGCGATCTCGTTTTGAATCAACCTGATTCCAGGGATCCGTTTAACTTTGAGAAATAACGTTCCCCAGGGTTTGATAACAATGGGGGGAAATGTTCCTTATGTGATGATGACATTTACATGGGAAACTGATTGAAGAATGTGTTCCTAGTCGTACGGCTAGAGACCCGGGAACATTATAGGTTCCTGTCTGGTTTGGTTTCCCTCTTCTAACGTGGTCATGTATTTTCAGTTGAAGCCGAAAGTTTATAACGCTGAAGAATTTAAACCCTCTCCAGAGTTCGCGGGATCAATTGATGGATATGTTTTCAAACGGGATAAGCTTGGTGTGGGGTATTACATTGATAAAGAGTTCGACGCTGTACTACAGCCAGAGGTGGAGGAGCAACGACGGAGATTGGCTGAAATGCCTTGATAGGATCATGTTTCTGCTACGGCACATTGTATGCAGTTGAGTTAGCAAGGACTGGGTCTATTTGAGTATCGACTATTTGTATTTGTATCAATATTACTATCAATATTAATATATAATATGAAGATTTAATATATATTGATATTAATATATCAATATTAATATATAATAATACTATTAATATTAATATATACTATCAAGTATTGAGTATTTGTATTATGTTAGGAAGACTAGTGGATCATGCTGTTTGGTGTGGTTTGTGTGATCTGTCAATTCTGTCAGGATTCTGTTTGTATTTGCATATCAACAGAAATCAAGATTCCATTTTTAAAGTTATTAACGCTTGTAGCCTTTGGGGGGTTTCAGTGGGCAATGTTAGTGTTGGAATATATTTTTGGCAGGTTTATATTAGAATGGAAATTTCGTTTCATCAGTGACTCGTAGATGACCTCCTCCATAGTTAGTGATGACTCGAATCACTATGGGGGAGTTCATATACGAGTTCGGGTGAGAGTGTACAGGAAGCAACAAAAAATTTCCCAAAATTTTCCCGAAATTTTCTATATTTTCGCATTCCCCCTCCCCTCCCACACTGCTCACAGTATCGTTCTCAAGGCTCTCGGTGAATGAATTTTTCCCAGGGTGAGAAGCTAATTATATAAAAAGCATTTAGAAAACGCGTGTTTGGAAGGGTGAGTGATGTTCCCCGACAAAATTAGTGTTATCGAACATGATATGTGAACATGGACTTTGCATCGTCCTCAATTTTAACCCTGTAGTTCATTTGACGATGTCTACTACTACACCACCGATCGGCTCGTCTACAGGAGAGGTAAGTCTCAGTAGCCAACAACAACAACAACCAGTAGCAGCATCAGCGCCGAGCCGACCGAAGAAGTCCAAGACTCCTACTGTGTTGGAATCTCTGGGAATAGTAGTGGCAAAAGGCTCGAAAAAACGCGTTAAACTAGCAGCAAGTGAATCTCGACGGGTTCGGGTGAGTTTTGAAAAGTCTCTGTTTGTAGGGTGAGCGGCTGATCAGGCACGGACTAAGGTGAGAAGTGTTGAGGAAGAAAATAGAATAGCAGTGTTGCGAGAAGAAAAAGTCCGACAGAAAGCAGCTGAGGTGATATTGGAGTTTCACTCTAGTGATAAGAAAAACAAATTTCACATTTCCCTTGGTGAGAAACGCGTGATGTATATCGCGAATATTACGTTTTCTAAAGTAGAATATTACGCTACCTCACGTCGAACGGTGAAACTACAGTGGAGTTTCACCCGTTTTACGCGAAGTGGCGTGAAACTCGGTGAAAAACGCGATATTCGCGGTGATATGCAGTAGTGAGATTTGTTTTTCACTAGTGTTTTTCATATCACGGGTGAAACTACATTGTATCGCGTAGTTTAACGACCTGGGCGAAAACTATATAGCACCTAGTTTCATCATTTTTTTGGTAAATTTTCGCTACTATTTATTTCTTATATAGTTAACTTTCTCATTTTTTCGGTGAATTTTCGTTACCATTTATTCCCATTGTAGTTAATTTTCTCATTTTTTCGGTAAATTTTCGTTACCATTTATTCCCATTGTAGTTAATTTTATCATTTTTTCGGTAAATTTTCGTTACCATTTATTCCCATTGTAGTTAATTTTATCATTTTTTCGGTAAATTTTCGTTACCATTTATTCCCATTGTAGTTAATTTTCTCACTTTTTCGGTAAATTTTCGCTACCATTTATATATTTTTTAGTTAATTTCCTCATTTTTTTGTTAAATTTTCGCTACTATTTATTTTTTTAGTTTATTTTCTGTTGTAGATATTCGATCATCTTGTTTTAGGAGCACCCCATGAACTCTCTATTCGCCGCATGTCGCAGCAACGACTCTCTCACTATTGCCGACCTAATCGGGCACAAAGTGAGGCATTCACGTGTTTTCATCTGTCACCAGTCACCCAGGAAGTCGACGCCAATGTGAAGTACCCGCATCCTATCGATGGGTTAGGAGTGGGGGCGGCTCCAATACATGTGGCGGCTCAATACGGGGCTACAGGTGCAGTTACTACGCTACTAGATGCAGGGGCTGATAAGGAACAAGTAGGAATGGTGGAGTATGTGTTCGCTTCCCTCGGGAGTTTCCTAGCTAGTTTATAGGAATTCGGGTAGAAGAGTAAGGAAACTAATGAGAATTTTTGTAAATTTCCTCAAAATTTCCGTAAATTTTGTCAGAATTTTCATGTGAATATTTTCCCACACTGTCATCTGATATCGGCCAGGTTACGGATCAAGGGCAAACAGCTCTGCATGTTGCGGCTAAGCGGGGGCTACCAGCCACTTGCCAACTGCTCATCACGAAAGGCGCCAACCTGGGCACCAAGGACAGGTTTGGGTGAGTGGGATGGGTTTTTATGCACATCGCGGAACGCTTCGCTCCGCTGTGTTCGAGATGATTCCAACATGGAGTCTATAGACACCTTTCTCACGTGTTAAATATTAATGTCTCAATCAGTGTGGTGAAAGTTGCCCATGGTCAACCACGCGAGTTGGTGAGAAAATGAAAACTCCGAGAAAATTTTGGATTGATCCGTGTGATTTTCTGTACATTAATGGTATGTATTCTCCCAATTCGTATATAAACTTTTTTGATTTGTGAGGAAAATATTGAGCTCAGCTGTAGGTGCACGGCCTTGGATCTGGCCAGGCGGGAAGAGCATCGATCCAATTTTCATGCAGAAGTGGTGAAGTTGTTGAAGAAGACGATCGCTCAACGTCACCAGGCTACGACCACTAATACGGGTGGGTTACACTGGATGACTTGTGTCGTGATGGAATCTCATTTTTGTAGGAGAGCGAAAGAGATCTCGAAGACGTCAAAAAGTTTATCAGTGATTCGCCACGTATTGTGTTGGTAGTTTATTCAGAGTCTACTGGTACAGTAGCGGTATGCAGGTTTTATTGAGTAAACAAAACACCCACAATCACCTGGAATGGCACTGTCGAAGTACGATAGTAAGCGAATGTAGTAAATCGCAACTACTTCAATATAGTAATGACTAATACGTCTTACAACTAGCGCTAAGAGACAGCGGAAACAAGACGCAAGACGACAATAACACAATCAAATATAACCAGATATCATCATCTTGCTGCCCTTGCGATTCTTCACTCATGCCGAAACCGGCACAGCGGCTAAAGGATCTGTACTTCAACGATTGTTAAATTGAGCACTCGAGATTTGCTCGAGACTCTTATAGGAGCAACTTCATGAGGGTGAATCTTGTCCCAGTCGAGTGAGTTCCGCTTGCAGATTGACGGAGTCTGAAGTAGTCGAGCAGAAGGAAACACTACCATTAACCTCGTTGAAGTTGTAGTGGAATTGACGATGATGGTAAAAGTGTTAGTGTTATTACTCTTACCGAAGTCGTGGTTAAATTAGTTGATGACACTTTGGGAAAAAGAGTACTTGTTGCTCCTGTATAGGCCATTGACTTCTATGTTCCAACGCGCCTGATATTCAGTTCTTGGTGGATTGTTATCTATCTATCATCACTTTGCCGACCACTAGTTGCAATAAATATAAATCAGATAATAATTAGGGACTTACTTACTCTCAACGCACTGATGAATTTATTCACTGTATAGAGCACAATCAGAATAACGATTGAAACACTCATCTGCCGTTTCCCCATCATGTATAATGTTAGTGATAGCGACAGCCAACAGTTCACCAACAGGGCCAATCGCTGGATTCGAACCTTACCGAACATGATCATCATAACTGTAATGTGCCTCACAATGGTTAGCCGCAATAGCAATAGCCTTTGCCATTTTGTATACGTTCTCCGGGCCTATCCCTGAGGCGCCATGCATCGCTCTCCTTGGAAACTCGACAATACTACCGACTAGCCTAGCCGCTTCCCCATCATGTACAATATTAGTGATAGCGACGGCCAAGGCTGATACGCTACTCTTAGTAGATACGTGTAATGACTTCATCTCATTCACATTTCCAGATGAGCTTGCCAGAGAATGCCGCCTTACACAGTCGTCGAGAGAGTATTATCATCGCAGTTAACAACACTCTAGGAGGTCCCGGGTTCAATTCCCACAAGCGACAACATATTGCCTCTTATACGTCATTCAGGAGTACCACACGAAGCCCTATTCCCGAAAGACCCTCACGAGGAGTATTCCCCAGGGAAAGCCTTCCCATGTCCTACTCTTGTATTATTCCGCCACACGAGAAACCCGACCCCCAGGAGTGTAGGAAAAACATTAACATGAAATCAACGTGGCAACTCTCGACGTAATAATCGTCTGCCTCCACGAAGTACTAAGCCGCTGGGATGCCTTTCGACACCTTCCAAGACTATTCTCCCATAGTAGCAATCATCACGACATGCGTTCATACGGCAGCCTTCCCCCCTAAGACCAATAACGTGTGTGGTATTGCAGATGCCCGGGTGGACTAAGTCGCTTTGGGTGCAGTGGGCCCCCTCGGGGTGGTACCCGTCCGAAACCACGATGAACATCTCCTCTTGTGTGCCTCATCGTGGATAATCTCGCATGGATGACTCTTGCCCATCTTGCGTGGTATGGAGCGCGCGCCATTCTGATCGATCCCTGCAAGTGCGCAACAACGACCGATGTGTCATTTCTAGTAGGGATTTCCTATGTCGCGGTGTGGGCTCTCGTTCCCTTGTCAAGCTGAGGTTGGCCCTTGCTAGTTGACCTACGGCCGGGGCGTAAATTAGTCTCGGCCCAGCCCAGCTGTGACGGGCCCATCCTAGTCGGCTCTTTAGAGTGTCGGACCAGCAGTGGTCGCAGAGACTGTTCCCTCAGTTGACGTTGTTCCCTTGTGGCGGTACATTGCTGTTGCCTATGGATACTGCTACAACCGCGACTCCCCTTCACGTGTGTGAATCTGATGATCCTAATGCCCCCAAGGAGGAGCCTTTCACCCTTCCTCCTGCCTACGACCCCGAACAAGGCTCTGCCCCCCAGGCAGCCCCAGTGGTGACCAATGCTGATGTGAGCAGCGGTGAGCCGCCACAAATGAGCGATGTCGTCAAGAGGCTACTTAAAACCAGATTCTGCCGTTATGGGGATCACTGCAAGTGAGACGGCGATACCGAATCGTTATTTTACCATTTATGCTTGCCAGGTACGGTGCTAGGTGCTTCTACGCCCACAGCCCCGAGGAGCTGAGGCAGAGGCCTCCCCCTCCTCCTGGTTACCGCAAGGGCTTCCCTCAAGGACATACCGCTCCCTTCCCTCCAGAGCATATGGCCGCTATGGTGGCTTTTCAAGGTACGGGGTACCTTCCGATGTGGTTGACCATATTTGTCTTGTCAGACCCTATGATGGGTTACCAACCACCATTGGGTTTTTTACCCGAGGCTATGGCACAGTTGATGGCACCAATGGGGGATCTACGTATGAATATGATGCCCTATGGCCCCTCCGAGAACTCCACTGCTAACACCTACGGTTACGACAACACGGCTACTGGTGCCCCTCAGCCTGCTCAAGTGAAGGCACCTGTTGTTGGAGATGTGCCCGGACGTATGACGGTTAGTCTGAGCCATTCTGGTATGACTGCCGCCCAAATCGCCAATCTCTTGGAAGTGGCGTCTTCGACTGCGAAGGCCACTGAGAAGTAATTTGGTGCGCGAATGATGCGCTAGTGAAAAGGTTGTTGAATTCGATGTATTGGCCAGTTGGCCTCATCTCTATCGGTTAATTCGGTGTCCGCAACCGAGCCTACTGATCTCTTGGTGTTGGATAGATTGTGAGGTAACGCTATTGAGATATCATGGGTTATGGTGGCACCGATTAATCAATATTGCGCATGATGAGTTGTATTAATGACAATATAGCTGTTGTGTTACATAGTGTTGAACCGTTGAGTCGCGAATCTCATCCAATGAATTTCCATATGAATGAATTTTCCAAAAATACCAAAGGCCTGATTTTTTCAATCGTCCAGAATAGTGAGTATACGTGCCGTTACAACGACCTCCAACTGTAAGCGTCCGCACTCGCCGTGACCAAAGTGTTTTTGGAAGCCGTGTCGAGTGTTGAGTACCACATTCTTGCGACATAGCAACATGCGTTGTCAGTTATAACACGACACGTGCAGCAAGATACTCGATGAAGTTCAATTCAGGGGTGTGGTCGCAGTGAGGTGGGGAGGGCTGGAGTGGTTCCATAAGCGCCCTTCAGGACGCTAGGAGCACACCAAATGAAAATGCACTACAGTCGGGGAGGTGAAAATGACCAAAATGCTTTTTGTTGAGTTTCAAGTGCGCGACTTGGACTAGCATGTAATCAAGCATGGGGAGTTGAGTGGTAAAGGAATTAGTTTGCGCGTTTCTAGATGGCGCGTGCTGTACCCAAATAAAAATTTGACATCCCCTTAAGAATCACAGTGATCTGAAAATCAGGAAAGGCGGAGGCATCATCAGGAGTTTCCTGACAAGAGACTCATCGTGAGGATCGTCAATGGCAGTCTGCCATCATCGAAAAGGGAGTCACCCTGCCCACTCGCCGCTCTGCAGCAGAGCCTCTGCTACTTTGGCAATGGACCGATCGCGTATCATGGACCGTCGACTAAGAGGGGTTCTTGAGTAACCCGACATCTCCTGTCAATTCATGGCTAGAATGCTCTCCAGATGACGCTTTTGTCGGTATACGAGGTCTGAGACCTCAGGTCCGCCGGGATCGAACCTGGGTGCTAAGTTGTGTCACTCATACTCTGTCTCGATTAAGGCTCTATGTATTAATACTGTGAATTGATTCGGCGCTGTGAACTTCATCGCGTTAACTTCCACGTTAACGTCTTCATTCCGGAGCTCATCAACCACCAGCGCGATCGGATACCACGCGACGTAGCTCGAGATCCCGAGAGTGTCCGGCCGAGGCCGAAATGGACCTCACATATAGATAGACCGTGTCACGGTCACGTCACGTGATAGGATCTACCTTCACGTAAAGTGTTCATATACAAGGTCACATTGTACGAAGATGGATGTATTGCGCGATAAACCCTCAAAACTAGAGCTGTCCTTCCTTGAAATATATTGGTTTCAAAGTGTGAGTACCTTGGGGTTTACCGTAGGCGGGTGCGTACCGGACGCCCGCTGACGAAAGTTTCGTCACGAAACGATCCTCCCGATTGACTTTTGACGAAACGATCCTCCCGATTGACTTTTTAATCATATTTCTTCACTCTAGGGGTCTTCGAGCAATTGGATGCGTCTATTTAAAACCACTCAAGTACCGGATAAAACACAACAGAATATTAATGATTGTAACACTCATCTAGATTGATTGCACGACTACTCAGAAAAGAACATTCGACCAACATAGTTGATGCTAAGGAATACCTAAACTAGGCTAACAATAGTAGGGTTCACCTTCGCAGTCACTATCAGTGGGGGCAAAGCAAAGAGAACCATCATCCTTCTTGATGATACCGAAACAAACCGCCGGATTCTGCCAAGTCTTGCAATACGATCCCCACTTGGAATCGCGGCACTGAGACATATCATTGCAGACGTCCTGACAGGTGGGTGTGGGTTCGGGACAAGCCACCGGCTCCAACGTGTAGTCATCACAGGTGTCTTGTTCGGTCGGCTGGAAGCAGTAACCATCATCCTTATGGTAGAGACCGAAGCAGACACCGTTGCCCTTGCAGTAGGAGCCATACTTGGAGTCAGCACAGGGAGAATAACCATCACAAATATCCTGACAATACTCGGCGACGGCAACGGATAAAGCAGCGATGGTGAAAGCGACCTTCATGGAGGAGACAAAAATAAGAGTCAACTGCAGGAGAATAAAAGTAGACTACCAAAGAGTAGCTTATATTGTCGGTACCGGCAGTGTTTTGAACCACTCAGAAACTTCAACTGAAGCACCCAATTTGAGGTGCCTCATAATATTCCTCACAATGGGAACCATCCATGGCGAACCGGCTACTCACGAGTAATTAACGGCCAGTCGACGGAGTCTATCGGCTATGCCTTCCGAGTACGCAAGGAGCCAAGACCGTTTCAATGTATCATCATCTTCGCCCGCCGAAACCATCGTTTCATTCGGCACCGCACAATAAAGATATTCGCCCACGCTTCTGCCATATACACCCACGGATGACAACACCGGACTGATTTAAGGCAATCACGCCCCATAGTGCTACAGAGGTTTGCCAAGGCTACTTAGTGATATACCGAGACGCTGGACGGCTCAGCTCAGACGAGCCGTCCAAGTATGCGAGGGAATTATGCCCGTGAAATTGGCGAGAAAACCTCAACAGGTGGAGGGAAGTCGACCAGAGTGCTTTTGCCCTTCCTCACTCAAGTTCTATTTTTTTACAGCTGTGGCTTACGGCATTACGAGATTCCGTGAAGTTATATCTCTCACATCGCTATTACCGGCCCCTCGACATTCTAACTCGAGTGGAAGTGACAGTAATCGGCCACAACAACCCCAAGGTCAAGAAACGTGATTACGTTGTGGGGAACTGTCGAGTTCACATATACTCAATGAGAGCTCATCTGCACACGTCGATAGTCTAACATCCTTTAGTCGTTACACTTCCTTATCGTCTTCAATACTAATCGGCGATAATACCGTCACGATATTCTACTCATTTGCTTCTCCATTGGTCAACCATTCGAGTGTAAAAGATTCAACTCCTCCAGTTTCATCTGCAGTCGCCTCAACAGCTCGAGCCCATGCCAGAGTGCATCCACTTCTCCTCTCTTCCTTTACATTGACCTCTACACACAAATCGCCTTACCCGTCAGTCAACTCAGTCTATTGAAATTCATTCATGTGAACCATTTCGATCAAGTAACTTCCGTACTGGCATCACCCAACACGCTATACGTTCTAGATCCACTAACAGGTTATACCCTCTCTACGAGGGACGGTGTCGATAGCCAATGTATATTTACACACAGCTACTCAAGCCTAGTAATCAAGTCGAGTTTGCTACCACCATGGTGAAGGATGAGCTGAGTATGTAAGTACCCCCCGCCCATTTGCTCGCTAAGCCTTCGAGATGCAACAGCACAGCTCGACTGGTTTGTAACGGTCGTGGGTTCGATTCCCAGCACGCGCTCCCAGCATTTTCCGCCCACAACAGTTTTGGCCAAAATGTGGTACAGTGTTGATGAGAACATTTTCATATTTTCTGCCGAGTACATCGGAGGACCCCCCCTAGCTGGAAATGTTATACATCCGGATCAGTATCATCATGCATGAACCGTTTTACGTGTCACCCACGTAGCATACTCTAAAGAATATGAAGAGTTGGCTAAGCTGCTCTCTTCGCTGTTGGGTTTACTACGTACTATTATTCATCTACTGCTGAGTCTAAGCACATGTATTGTAGTCTATGAAGGAGACAGCTTCGCAGTCATGCACATGTGTATGCGTGCACCTCATTAGCTACAGTGTGGTTCCCCTTGACGCCTGTTAGTAGTAACACCCGCACTGATTGACTCAACAACACTTGATATAGCCATAAAAGGTGATAGGGCTTTTTATCTTATCCATTTCAGCCTGAAGGCTGCGAGCCGATTCATGAAGCGAATAATGGGCGAGCAAGAATCGCCATGATACGCACACGGACGCCTCCTCTCACTTTCCCTCTCCTCTTCTTATTTTGAAATCAGAGACACATCACATCGTAGAACAACCACATGTGTTGACCGAAAATTACCTCCTTCCGTCATTCCACCGGAATAAGAGCCTCCCAACGACTTCGTTGTAGCAGTAACACCTTCGAGAATCAATCTCCCCGAACGTGTGCAGAACCAAGCGGGGAACCAATTAATCTACTCAAACACACGTGACACCGTATACTCCATTAAACACTATAATGACCATATCACAACTTGTAACACAGGTAGATCCTCAGATAGTTCGCCCGTTTTACACGCAAAACTCGGTGGAAAACGCGATATTCGCGGCCTGTAGCAGTCTTGAAATATCTTTTTCGTATCACTAGGGTGGAGCTCAATTGAGGCAATCAGCGTAACATACACACCTGCTATACTAACTTCAGCCTATTGCTGCATCATGCAAAATTTATATTACATTTTCGAGTAAGAGCGGCGGGTACTAATAGAAACCCCATAAAATCTACGCAATCAGCACTCCTTCGTCCAGCCGAGTGATAGCCAATATAGGGGTATAGCTGCCGGCTCAGTCACCGCCTGAGCCCTGGTGTGATCGGCGACTGAGAGCTCGATAAGTAGGAATGCAATCTCTTTGAAAACTCCACGCTGACCGATTCGGCTGGTACCGAATACCCAAAATAATTCGAAATTTTAGTCATTTAACTTGAAAAATTATGGTGAAGAATTTCAAGTATATTTCCTCATTATAGCAGTCGGACCACATTATTACATCGAGTCTTCTTATTCGAACACTTTCCTCAGCTTACCAAAAACACAGACTCCTTCTTCGCGATGAACGACATCCTAGGAATATTTTTCAACTGCAACCGCAACTCGTTCGCAAGGACCCCAACACCACAACAAAGTAGATTGATTTAACTCATTCTACAGATGCCAGCAGCAACAGAAGTGGTAGTAATAATAATGGCAGTAATCATTGACGATAACCATGACGACGACTATCCACCTCATCTACCGACAAGATACCACTCCTCTTTAACTTCACTGCTGCTGTTGCCATTGATTTCTACTACTACGAATACTCCTACATGGTTACCAGTATCTTTTTAGGGGAGATACTAGGCAAAGGAACCTCTTGTCAAGTATGAGGGCCCCGAACAAAATGATGACGATAGTAGTAGTAGTGACGAAGATAGTGACAGATATGGTAGTAGAAAGGGCGATGTAGATAAGCGACTCAGCCGACGACAACAACAATAGAGCCCTTCTACTGGTAGTAATAATAAGACTCTGATTACAAGCCGTACTTGAAATCATACTGGTTTCGCACACCCAAACGACGTTGCTAATTTTCGAGAAGATTCACAGAAATTTACGCCAAAGAGAAATGAGTTCAACCAAGTTCGCGGAATGTTGCATCCATCGAAACGTAGTAGACTCCTTATCACCTGAGCTCAAAATTATTACGTTCGCTTCAAGGCACTGAGTATTACCGAGATATGATGTTGTCCACCACCATCATCACCATTACGCCTCTGGGCATTCGAAACCAATATCGACTTCAATTACCTGCCCACACGAGGATGAGCTTTCTTGTAAATGATTCCCATCACTGTGACAACAGACACATAGTATTAGAAATAAACTTAAATAATAGCATCTATCGCAGTCTTCTCTTCCTCATCATCAACATCCACTTGCCGCTATCACGATATATACAGCAATGAGAACTGACGTCTAAACTGCTGCTCACCAGAAAAGAACCCGCCAATGGATACCTTATTGCCTCTCAGGAAAAACATAATCGTCCTCATAATACAGTGGGAGAGACAAACAAAGGCTATTACTACAAGTACAACTACTACCAACCTCATACATAGGCGTCGAACTACGGATAATAATACTAAGAGCGCCGTCACTGTAGCGAAATAATGAGGAGTTAACGGCAATACATGCCTCCGAGTCGTTATTCAGCAACATCAGGCTTACTTCGCTTGACCAGCCGCTTGAGCCGGCTTACCCTGATTCGCCCCCCCAGCCGAACCTTGTGTACTTTGCTGCGATCCTGATGAACGATAACACACAATTCAACAAGATTAAAGAGAAAACAAAATGATCTCAACTTACTTTCGTAGTTGAGAATTGTCCAATCAAATACAAAGTCGTACTGGAATGCCTCGCGAAAGAACAGGTCCTTGAGAGTTCGGCGTAGGTAAGCATAGTCTGGCCTGATCATTTACGCATTCTACCACAACTACTACTGCTCGCTATTTACCTGTCCTCGAACCTCAGGCTTCGGCAGTAGTTCAAGTAGTTGACGAACTCACAAGGGAAGTTCTTACAGAGGACCTCAACTGGAGTACTCATCTTCTTTTCCATAATCTTCTCGTATTTATCCTTTTTAGTATGGGCGCGCAGTCCCTGAGGTAGAGCACCGCTATAACCGATACTCGTTGGATCTTCACCAACCTGCCACGGTAGACTGCCTCTGTTGAAGTACATGAGGACGTAGCCGAGCGCCTCGAGGTCGTCTCTTCTAGATTGCTCAATGCCAAGATGAGTATTAACGGAAGCATAACGAGCAGTTCCTGACGACGATGAGCCCAGGTGATGGTATGCAAACATAAATCTCTTTGCTACCGGTGAGATTCTTATTTTCCCTATACGGGATGTGTTGTTGAGTCTTAGGATCGCGGAACTTCTTGGCGAGGCCGAAATCGATGATGCTGACCTGCGATGAGATCAACTGCCAATTCAGATCGCCCTCGTCTTCTTTTTCTCACCTGGTTGGCTTTCCTGCCGAGACCGATTAGAAAATTATCAGGTTTAATGTCGCGGTGAATGAAGTTCCTGGCGTGAACATACTCCACACGGTTGATCATTTGATCGGCCAGCATGAGCACCTACGTCGTTATTGCATATCAACTGATACCAACTACTTACCGTTTTCAAGCTGAACTTCCTGTTACAAAAGGTGAATAAGTCCTCCAGACTAGGGCCAAGGAGATCAATAACCATCACGTTATAGTCACCTTCGATGCCATACCAATGGACCTGCACAGTCGACCACAATCTCTACCACAACACACACAACTTCCTATCAACCCACCAGAGGGATGCCAACACCACCTGCCAGAATCTTGTATAGTTTGGACTCGTAAAGCAGTTGAGGATGTTTCGACTTGATAGATTCAAGCTTGATAGCGACCTAAGATTAACATCATTATAAAATCAGATTAACCCTCAATGGGGTACCTCCTCGCCAGTCTGTAGATTAGTCCCCACGTAAATGTCACCGAAACTGCCACTTCCGATCTTCCGTCCAATTCTGAACTTTCCACCAACTCTCAGATCCATGTTGCCAGACATTTAGGAGGAGCAAACACCTCGAAATAACAACGATAGATGAGCAATCCCTCGGCGAGTGTGAAAGAAGTCTATTAATAGCTGTTGAAACTCGTGTGAGCTCAGACCTGCTCCAGAAAGGGACAGCGACACAATTTTGACGGCAGACCATCGAAACCTATTCAATCCACTTGAGGGTGATTGTCGATCACATCCGCTTATGCTGTCCATGTCCTCCGTGTTGTTACAGTCCTCAATGTTGTGGCTACAGTACTTCGATACCCCGATTGGACCTATTTCGTATCATGTCACGGGGAGCTCAGGATACGCGAACAGTGAGGAGGCAGTCCCTATCGAGTGGAACAGTACGACGTTGACGATACATCGATAGCAACACGCCACCCTTCGAGATCGATCTTCCACATACGTGGGGGGAGCAGCGAAGAAACTTCGTTATGAACGGCCGCAAATTCAAGCGCGCGCGCCATCATAATCGATTTGAGCATCGCTGAGCAAGCTTTGCGGCTGTAGTGCGCAGTAAAGCTCGTGAAGGTATCTCCCATCGGTCATTTCTTCATTCACCTTCTCTAATCACTTAACGAGTTCAGAGTATTGTTCGCTATCCTGCTCGCCTAGGTTTTGGCTCTGTCTGTATGGGACGCTGGAAATGCTCTGTGTCGCTCTGATTACTGCTGTGTGGCTTCGTCTCTCGCCGTCTGCCTCCTCGAAGTACTACCTACTATTCATTGTGAGAGTCAATCCAAGGCAGTAACTGTCTGGTCTTTCGAGTTCGGTAATATCTTTTTTGATTCCACTAAATTCCACCATGGACGCAGCTGAGGCCCAAAAGCAGATTCAACAGATGGTTAACTTCATCCTCAATGAAGCCAAGGTAAGCAGCTCTTCGTTATCTACGGTAGCTTTTATATGTTTGTATCAGGACAAGTCTGAAGAGATTGAGGCTAAGGCTATGGAGGACTTCAACATCGAGAAGCTGAAGCTTGTCCAGCAGATGAAGGAGAAGGTCAGGAAGTAAGCCGAATCATAACTATTTTTATCATTGTCCGTATCTGCTGTTTTCAGGGAGTATGCCCAGAAGGCTAAGAAGATTGAGACTCAGAGAGCTATTGCTCGCTCCACTGCTATCAACCGTTCTCGATTGCAGAAAATCGGTGAGCGTGATGCTATGCTCCACAAGGCTGTTGATGATGCTATTGCCGAGCTCTCTGCTTATGCCAAGACTCCCGCCTACAAGACCACTGTGACCAACCTCATTGTCCAGGGTTGCTTCTCTCTTCTTGAGCCTGAGGTCACCATTCGTTGCCGTCAGGAGGATATGGCTCTTGTTGAGAGTATCATCCCCCAGGCTCAGAAGATCTACGCTGCCGAGATCGCCAAGCAGGCTAAGGGCACTACCAAGGCTGTTGTACTCACCCTAGACAGGAAGAACCCTCTCAAGGGCAAGGCTGGTGGTGTTGTGCTTAGTTGCAACGATGGCAAGATCCGTGTTGATAACACTCTGGACGCCCGTCTTCGTCAACTTGAGGAGAAGGACAAGCCTAATCTGCGTAAGGTCCTCTTCCCTATTGAGGCCTAAGATGTGCCATTATTATTACCATTGCTCCCTACCCGGTCGTTTTGTCCATCCACTAAGTGGCGACTATCATCATCACCTTCTGTCGGCGGCGGTCGTCGTTGTAGAATAGTTCTGCAATAGGCCCTCGTATTGGGGTGGTTTTCCGTGGTTGTTATTGCTGGTGGCGATGGCTTGAGTAACTACAGTGAGGCTACTTGTCTCAATTTCAACAATACAGTTTCGTATTCACGAGTACATCGAAGCAATGTCGAGTTTTTTAGTATCAATCGCGTGGAGTGATATACCATCGATGGTACGATAAGGTTGAACAGATTCAACGAGGTCGAACTTTCGAATGGAGTGGTTGTGTATTTTTTGACATTAAACTTTTGGCTCTACAATTTGAGCCTAATTCTTCGAGTTCAACTTGTTTTCGATCAGAGTTGATATGACTGAATGTGTTTAACACCAGTATAATCTTCTCCTAGTAGTGCTAGGTGAGCCCGTCGTCGCTGGTGTCTGCGTTCTGCGCTGTTCATCATGCACGGCTCGTGCAGTCATACTGACAGTTTAGATATTTACTGATAGATTCAGTCGGTGCTCAATTCTGGCCCTTCTTATTCTTCAGTGAAAATGATAACCTGTAAAGGTCTCTAGTGGATCTAGAACGTATAGCGTGTTGGGTGATGCCAGTACGGAAGTTACTTGATGGAAATGGTTCACATGAATGAATTTCAATAGACTGAGTTGACTGACGGGTAAGGCGATGTGTGTGTAGAGTTTAATGTAAAGGAAGAGAGGAGAAGTGAATGCACTCTGGCATGGGCTCGAGCTGTTGAGGCGACTGCAAAGGAAACTAGAGGAGTTGAAATTTTGCACTCGAATGATTGACCATTGGAGAAGCAAATGAATAGAGCATCGTGACGGTATTATCGTCGATTAGTATTGAAGACGATAAGGAAGGGTAACGACTAAAGGAGGTTAGACTATCGACGTGTGCAGATGAGCTTTCATTGAGTATATGTGAACTCGACAGTTCCCCACAACGTAATCACGTTTCTTGACCTTGGGGTTGTTGTGGCCGATTACTGTCACTTCCACTCGAGTTAAAATGTCGAGAGGCCGGTAGTACGAGATTGATAACTGACCAGAGTGAGGTGTGAGAACCCGAGTGAGGAAGGGCAGAAGCACTCTGGTCGACTTCCCTCCACCTGTTGAGGTTTTCTCGCCAATTTCACGGGCATAATTCCCTCGCATACTTGGACGGCTCGTCTGAGCTGAGCCGTCCAGCGTCTCGGTATATCATCAAGTAGCCTTGGCAAACTCCTGTAGCTCCCCGTGGGCGTGATTGTCTTAGATCAGTCCGGTGTTGTCATCCGTGGGTGTATATGGCAGAAGCGTGGGTGCATATCTTTATTGTGCGGTGCCGAATGAAACGATGGTTTCGGCGGGCGAAGATGATGATACATTGAAACGGTCTTGGGTCCTTGCGTACTCGGAAGGCATAGCCAATAAACTCCGTCGACTTCTGGCCCTTGACTACTCGTGTGGAGCCGGTTCGCCATGGATGGTTCACATTGTGAGGAATATTATGAGGCACCTCAAATTGGGTGCTTCAGTTGAAGTTTCTGAGTGGTTCGAAACACTGCCGGTACCGACAATATAAGCTACTCTTTGGTAGTCTACTTTTATTCTCCTGCAGTTGACTCTTATTTTTGTTTCCTCCATGAAGGTCGCTTTCACCATCGCTGCTCTGTCCGTTGCCGTCGCCGAGTATTGTCAGGATATTTGTGATGGTTATTCTCCCTGTGCTGACTCCAAGTATGGCTCCTACTGCAAGGGCAATGGTGTCTGCTTCGGTCTCTACCATAAGGATGATGGTTACTGCTTCCAGCCGACCGAACAGGACACTTGTGATGACTACACGTTGGAGCCGGTGGCTTGTCCCGAGCCCACACCCACCTGTCAGGACGTATGCAATGATATGTCTCAGTGCCGCGATTCCAAGTGGGGATCGTATTGCAAGACTTGGCAGAATCCGGCGGTTTGTTTCGGTATCATCAAGAAGGATGATGGTTCTCTTTGCTTTGCCCCCACTGATAGTGACTGCGAAGGTGAACCCTACTATTGTTAGCCTAGTTTAGGTATTCCTTAGCATCAACTATGTTGGTCGAATGTTCTTATCTGAGTAGTCGTGCAATCAATCTAGATGAGTGTTTCAATATTTTATATGCTGTTGTGTTTTATCCGGTACTTGAGCGGTGTTAAATAGACGCATCCAATTGCTCGAAGCCCCCTAGAGTGAAGAAATATGATTAAAAAGTCAAACGGGAGGATCGTCAGCGTGCGTTCGGTACGCACCCGCCTGCGGTAAACCCCAAGGTACGCACACTTTGAAGCCAATATATTTCAAGGAAGGACAGCTCTAATACTTGAGGGTTTATCGCGCAATACATCCATCTTCGTAAATGTGACCTTGTATATGAACACTTTACGTGAAGGTAGATCCTATCACGGTCTATCTACATGTGAGGTCCATTTTCATGTGAGGTTTCTAATTGGGTTGTTGCTTCGGATCAAGCCAGGGTCCATGACGAGAGAATGCCTCTGATTGTAAGCCAGCCCTTCCCCGTTGTGTATATCATTTTTATCGCCAGGAGTTTATTATTTTTAGAATACTTGAGTCTTGGGTTGAGTTGGTGATGATAGAGTTTCTATCAGTACTTCAAATTCGTCTTGACAACATCGGTGGCATCACTGGAAGCAGTGGCTGATGTAGCTCAGATGGCGGCCTCGGCCAGACACTCTCGGGATCTCGAGCTAAGTCGCGTGGTATCCGATCGCGCTGGTGGTTGATGAGCTCCGGAATGAAGACGTTAACGTGGAAGTTAACGCGATGAAGTTCACAGCGCCGAATCAATTCACAGTATTAATACATAGAGCCTTTATCGAGACAGAGTATGAGTGACACAACTTAGCACCCAGGTTCGATCCCGGCGGACCTGAGGTCTCAGACCTCTATCGACAAAAGCGTCATCTGGAGAGCATTCTAGCCATGAATCGACAGGAGACGTCGGGTTACTCAAGAACCCTTCTTAGTCGACGGTCCATGATACGCGATCGGTCCATTGCTAAAGTAGCAGAGGCTCTGCTGCAGAGCGGCGAGTGGGCAGGGTGACTCCCTATTCGATGATGGCAGACCACCATTGACAATCCCCACGATGAGTATTGCAGGCTCGGCAGTCACGGCAATCTCTCGTCAGGAAACTCCTGATGATGCCTCTGCCTTTCCTGATTTTTAGATCACTTTAATTCTTAAGGGGATGTCAAATTTCTATCTTGGTACAGCACGCGCCATCTAGAAGCGCGCAAACTAATTCCTTTACCACTCAACTCCCCATGCTTGATTACGTGCAAATCCAAGTCGCGCACTTGAAACTCAACAAAGCGCATTTTGGCCATTTTCACCTCCCCGACCGTAATGCATTTTCATCTGGTGTGCTCTTAGCGTCCTGAAGGGCGCTTATGGAGCCACTCCAGCCCTCCCCAGCTCACTGCGACCACACACCTGAATTGAACTTCATCGAGTATCTTGCTGCACGTGTCGTGTTATAACTGACAACGCATGTTGCTATGTCGCAAGAATGTGGTACTCAACACTCGACACGGCTTCCAAAAACACTTTGGTCACGGGGAGTACGTACGCTTACAATTGGAGATCGTTGTAACGGCACGCATATTCACTATTCTGGACGATTGAAAAAAATCAACCGTCCTTTCCATTATGGGTTGACCTTTTGGAAAAAAGTCATTCAGATGGAAATTCATTGGATGAGATTCGCGACCCAACGGTTTAACACTATGTAACACGACAGCTATATTATCATTAATACAACTCATCATGCGCAATATTGATTAATCGGTGCCACCATAACCCATGATATCTCAATAGCGTTACCTCACAGTCTATCCAACACCAAGAGATCAGTAGGCTCGGTTGCGGACACCGAATTAACCGATAGAGATGAGGCCAACTGGCCAATACATCAAATTCAACAACCTTTTCACCAGCGCATCAATCGCGCACCAAATTACTTCTCAGTGGCCTTCGCAGTCGAAGAAGCCACTTCCAAGAGATTGGCGATTTGGGCGGCAGTCATACCAGAATGGCTCAGACTAACCGTCATACGTCCGGGCACATCTCCAACAACAGGTGCCTTCACTTGAGCAGGCTGAGGGGCACCAGGAGCCGTGTTGTCGTAACCGTAGGTGTTAGCAGTGGAGTTCTCGGAGGGGCCGTAGGGCATCATATTCATACGTAGATCCCCCATTGGTGCCATCAACTGTGCCATAGCCTCGGGTAAGAAACCCAATGGTGGTTGGTAACCCATCATAGGGTCTGACAAGACAAATATGGTCGACCACATCGGAAGGTACCCCGTACCTTGAAAAGCCACCATAGCGGCCATATGCTCTGGAGGGAAGGGAGCTGTATGTCCTTGAGGGAAGCCCTTGCGGTAACCAGGAGGAGGGGGAGGCCTCTGCCTCAGCTCCTCGGGACTATGGGCGTAGAAGCACCTAGCGCCGTACCTGGCAAGCATAAATAGTAAAATAACGATTCGGTATCGCCATCTCACTTGCAGTGATCCCCATAACGGCAGAATCTGGTCTTAAGTAGCCTCTTGACGACATCGCTCATTTGCGGCGGCTCACCGCTGCTCACATCAGCACTGGTCACCACTGGGGCTGCCTGGGGGGCAGAGCCTTGTTCGGGGTCGTAGGCAGGAGGAAGGGTGAAAGGCTCCTCCTTGGGGGCATTAGGATCATCAGATTCACACACGTGAAGGGGAGTCGCGGTTGTAGCAGTATCCATAGCCAACAGCAATGTACCGCCACAAGGGAACAACGTCAACTGAGGGAAGAGTCTCTGCGACCACCGCTGGTCCGACACTCTAAAGAGGCCGACTAGGATGGGCCCGTCACAGCTGGGCTGGGCCGAGACTAATTTACGCCCCGGCCGTAGGTCAACTAGCAATGGACAACCTCAGCTTGACAAGGGAACGAGAGCCCGCACTTCGACATAGGAAATCCCTATTGGGAATGACACATCGGTCGTTGTTGCGCACTTGCAAGAATCGATTAGAATGGCGCGCGCTATCCTCCACGCAAGATGGGCAAGAGTCATCCATGCGAGATTCTCAGTAACGTTGAGGAGATGTTCATGGTTTCGGACGGGTACGACGCCGAGGAGACCCACTGCGCCCAAGGCGACTTAGTCCACCCGACCATCTGCAATACCACACACGTTATTGGGCTTAGAGGGGAAGGCTGCCGTATGAACACATGTCGTGATGATTACTACTATGGGAGAATAGTCTTGGAAGGTGTGGAAAGGCATCCCAGCGGCTTAGTACTTTGTGGAGGCAGGCGATTATTACGTCGAGAATTGCCGCGCTGATTTCATGTTAATGTTTTTCCTACAGTCCTGGGGGTCGGGTTTCTCGTGTGGCGGAGTAATGCAAGAGTAAGGCATGGGAAGGCCTCCACTGAGCAATACTCCTCGTGAGGGTCTTTCGGGAATAGGGCGTGGTGTGGTACTCCTGAATGACGTATACGAGGCAATATGTTGTCGCTTGTGGGAATTGAACCCGGGATCTCCTGGAGTGTTGTTCACTGCGATGATAATACTCTCTCGACGACTGTGTAAGGCGGCATTCTCTGGCAAGCTCATCCGGTGGACCCCAGCTGACAGGGGGCATCTCTTACGTGGCCTTGGCCGTATTCGGCCTTCTCGTAAAATGATGGAGACGAAAAATAGATTCCAAATATGCGATGAAATCGGTGAGTTTTTAAGAGACAACACCAATTTGAATCATCATGTAGATACTAAGGAGTTGGCGAAAGTGATTGAGAACTGCCTCAAGGCGGAACCGGAAGAGATCGTTGTTATCCAAACTGTAGCAACTTCACCGAGGAACGGTAGACTGGCATTTGGTGCTTGTTTTTCTAGTCGAACCCATCGTCGTTGAATCGGGCAGTCCGAGCGGCGGCGATGGTCAGTCAGATGGAAAGGCTCCTACCTTTAGTGCTGCGCTTTACAGGGCCACCGACTGATGGTGACACTATAAGCTGTTGGTTGGTGTCACCACCTATGGTTAGGTGAGGACATATGGGTGAGCATGGCAATCGAATGCATACCCGAAGGAGATGTGAGTGAGATGAAGTCCTTACACGTATCTACTAAGAGTAGCGTATCGGCCTTGGCTGTTGCTATCACTAATATTGTACATGATGGGGAAGCGGCTAGGCTAGTTGGTAGTACTGTCGAGTCTCCAAGGACAGCGATGTATGGCGCCTCAGGGATAGGCCCGGAAAACGTATACAAAATGGCAAAGGCGATTGCTATTGCGGCTAACCATTGTGAGGCACATTATAGTAATGATGATCATGTTCAGTAAGGTTCGAACCCAGCGATTGGCCCTGTTGGTGAACTCATGTGTCGAGCAAGCACTGTCGTGTTGGACCCTACGACTAACACTGTACCGACACAGCGTAAGGGGGGTGCGTTTTGATGGGTTGGCAAGTCTGTTTTTGTAGGGGGTGGGAAGCCGTTTTGGGGCGTGCAAATTTTGGTGCGAATACAATTGAAACAAAAGAAGAAAAAGAAAAAAGTGCCATTGTGACATGCTAAGTTTCTAGGGTAGATGGCGATCAGCGTTGGATGTAAATGATAATCTCGCTCGCCCGAAAATAATTTGGCAGTTGCGATAGGTAAGCCGATGTTGCTGTGTTCGATTATTATCCCATGGGTGTGACTGATGAAGATCGGGTCTTGTTTTTGCTATCGATTTATGGTCAATACTTCGTTACGCACATGGAGGTGTACTAATTCCTCCTTTACAATAATCTCATAGCATGTTTTCTAAGCATACGTATCGAAGTTTCCACTGAGTTGCCTGTGGTGGGAGCATGATTGTGCGCAGTAGGGAAAGTTGATCGATTCACCCATATAGCTAACGGCCTTCATTTACGTCAGCCAACGTGAGGGCCCTCTTTACTCGGCCTACTGACTCCCTATCTCGCGTTCCGAAGTTAGAACTGAGGAAAGACGACTAAAGTGCATCTGTGAGGTGGGAGTATAACTTAACGTAACATGTTATGACGCTAGCAAGAAGCGATGGTAGGTGGAACGTGGGTAGGGATTAGGCAGTCATCTCAATAGAAGAAGCTGAGAGCTGAATGTGGCATTGGTTGCTGGCAAGAGCGAGAGCGTATACTTCTATGTGGGTGGTATCTTGTGTATGCGTGCAAATCTAATACCGTATTTCGCGTACATCGTGGGACATACCTGGTGACTTAAATCAGACCACAGCTGAGTGACGCTGAATAAGACTCAACATGGGATAAAGGCGTATTAAAATCCATACATTTTGTCCTCCTGTCGCGGGCACAGTTCGGGAACAGCGGAGCGAAGCGTTCCACGATGTATATCACCACTTAACAGCTCGCCGATGAAGAACTTCTACGACACTATGGTGCAATATATAATAGTGTTCCCGAGGGGAACCCATTTTTAATTTTCCACGTATGGCTAGGAACACATTCTTCAATCAGTTTCCCACGTAAATGTCATCATCGCATTAGGAACATTTCCCCCATTGTTACCAAACCCTGGGGAACGTTATTTCTCAAAGCTAGATGGGTCTCTGATATGGAGTTAACTAATTGTTAGAGATGTTAGAGCGCGGCAATGTTTATGCGTACATATTATGTTGATCGATCATTACCAGTTAGCTATTCTGTCAAGGTTTCATTTTCCCCGTATATCGATTGATCTGTCCTGTTCGTCAATTCTAGGCTGGCCTTCCATCGTTGGTTGTTCTCTACAATCCTATCAACAGTGAGAATTTATATGTACTATATTTTAGTTTTTGATCGTATTGCTGTTTCGAAGAGCGCGATGTTGTGTGGGAGTGGTAACAGTGTGTGTGTGTGTAAGGCTCTTGGTGTGATGACGGATTCTCCATTTAAGGTTGAGGATTTGCTAGGTGACGTCATGGGGACTATAGGGGGATATTCTACTTTGGCAGATTCCCTAAAGACAGCTGAAGGTCTGGTTACCTTCGACGAGCAGTTGGAAGAAGTCGTGGGCTCTGGTTTGGATAAGAACTCCTTCAAGGCTATCATGGAAGCACTTGCGAAGTAGGTTGTCGTGGATACTCTATTATAGGCTGCAACCACACATCACGCCCTCTTCACAAGTCGCGCGCGTTCACTCGGGTGTGGTATTGATAATATAGATAACTGGTCAATTATTACTATGATATTAAGTGTATGGTAGTACTATAATATTTGAACGTAGTGTTTATATTCGTGCTATGGACAATGTTATATATATACGAACTACTAAGTGACGAAAAAACTCGTGATTAGTCATTTCGGAGCTGATGCTGAGTTCGCAACCATGCTGGCTGCTATATAGAAAAATTGGTGACGATTCTGACTTGGCAGAATCGTACGGGGGGTATGTGGGTAACCAAGCTGTACCATTCTGGACACATGAGGTGCTACCAGTGTGAGCTGGTATAATTTCCGCGTAGTTTCGTCACGGTGATGAGAGAGCGATGATTAAGTATCGTATAAGTACTGTAGGATATCGTTTTAAGAGCCTTGGTCGGTGGGCCTACTACGTGTGTTAGTGACAACATGGAAACTCGGAGAAAATTCCAAGTGGTTTCTGTACACTACTATGAGAAGTCGTGTGTAAACTTCCTAGTCCAGCAGAGGAAAGCGACCATATATTCCAACACTGCTTATCAGGTTATTCCGTTCGCTACCGCCATCAGAGGCTTCGACAGCTCGCCAGGACTTTGTGGATTTCGATGGTCTTCGTCGACTCTTCTCCACCTACGTTTTGATAGTGGCAGAGGAGACCACCGAGGAAGCCATGGTTGCGGTGAGTGAAGACTTTCGTGACCACTTAGGGTTACCATTGGTCCAGTTTGGGAAAATGTGCATATGGTGAAATACATGTGCTAGTGACGGTATGAGAATCATGGCGTTCTTGTTGGTTTTCGTACACTTCTACCTAAAGTCGTACGTGAACTCCTTAAATTAGCTTCGTAGACTCCGAAACTCAGCTGATGGAAGCTAACATATATTCCAAGACTTCCTTGGTTAGAATCTCACTACTGTTTTCTTCCCATTCCTCGAGCCAATCGTCCTGGGGTGTCGAGACGCTCGTGCTCTCGTCGATGAGAGTGGCTTGCTGAAGACGAGCAGTGAACTGTGCAAGTTCGCCATCGCAACTTCTACTGGGGAGTCTGCGGTGTGTAGAGGCATACGATTGATGGTGACAGGCTGTGATAATGCTAAGGTGAAAATCCTGAGTGATGTTGACTACTGGTGTAGTTGTGGTTGTTGCTAGTGGACTGTTCTGAAGACGGGCTTGCTTGACCACATTTTGGATCTGCTACGTCGGCAAGCGGTAGATGAGGAATCTGAGTGAGGTTCGGGGAGGAGTGGTATGCACTCACAGTGTGGGGGAAAATATCCACATGGTCAACTACATGTGTTGGTGACAATATGAGGATTCTGAGAGATTCTCCTGTCCTGGTTCGTATATAGACTCCTGTAATTAGTGAGCAAACATATGTGGCTAGCAAACATATTTACCGACACTGTGCACGCATACGCACGGTTCAGGCCAGACTTGCAAGTACTGCTATGTGTGAAGGCATTGATTATTGATGACGACAAGTTGGCGAAGAACCCCGCGCATGTCTGGGCTCGAGAGCTCTGTTGGTAGGGTGAGGGTATCTTAGCGCACTATGAAGATTTTGGATATTTTCAGCGATGAAAATCATATGACCAACACGCGCGTAGTGTTACGAAGGCTGAAAGACGTTGGAAATTCACAAACGGCTGAGGTCCTCGCACTATTCTTGAGGGAGTTCTCGAACACCACTGATAAGTAAGTGTTGCGCATGCGTGCTGATGGAATATCTTTGAGCGCAGCGCGAAGATTTTGGCGAATCCGGACGGTGATAATTTTCTGGCTTGGGCGGTTGGTGTGCTACATAACGGGTTCAAGGAGGGCAATCCGGGGAGTGAATTGTTGAAGACAATGCGGATGACGTCGTCATTCGTTCGGCAAGTTGCCTTTATTGACGACTTGAAACCTGGTGAGGAGTGTTGGGAAAATCTGCACAATGCTGAAAATTGTGGGAAATTTTCGTTGGTTTTGGTATACGTCCATTGTAAATCGTATGTCAGTGTAACTGAGCTCAGCTGAGGAAACCAAGCATGGTAGTTACTATGCGTTTTATAACAGGACGCTGTATATTGAAGTTTCACCCTTGTGATATGATATTCCGCATTTCACCTGGTGAAAAACGCATGAAAGCAGTGAATAACGCGTAAAACACGTGGTATGTGTTTTACGTGATGCGGGGTGATTCGCGTTAAGTGTTTTCATTTCACTCCATATCGCGAGTAAAACTCCATTGTTCATTCTAGTCGTATGCGAAGTCCTAGTATCGAAAATGTTGCTTCCACTGATGGCGGACTGGATTGGTCGTTTACATGACGAAGACACAACAGAGAAGGATGCTAACGATGTGATCAAGTCGGGGATAGCTGATAATGTCTTTGGCATTATTGCTAATATTACGGTAAGAGATGCCCTGCCTGGGGTTCGAACCTGCGTGGTAGATGCGGCAACCCGACATCGTGGAGAGGCTCAATGAGGCCTTTGATATGCCCTCTTTGATAAAGCTATCGATCGCTGCTTATTGTAAGAAGAGCGCGCGAACTGAGAAGCAGATCCTGCAAGTAAGTGGAAAAGGAGTGGTATGTAAAATATTCCAATATTCTAGGTGTTGAATAATTTCCTAAGAAGCCCGGTTGGTCGCAGTAAGTGCATTGATGCGGCGCTACTCGACGACGTCGCGTGGCATTGGGCGAGTGACTGGGAGAAAATGAGAATCTTCGATAAGAAGAGCACCAAGAGCATAGGTTGGGGAGAAGTGTCCGATCTGGCTCGACGGATATTAATTGAGAGTAGACACGAAAGCACGATGGTTGATGGTTCGTAGCATATGTGATTTCTGATACGATAGTGTTGTTGTGTTGGAGAAGTGGTGATTTAACAAAAGCATTCGAGTGGTCATCGACATAGTATGATTAACGCATGACGATCGTGTGTGTTTCTGTGTCTATATATACAGTAGATTTATATATGAAAAATTATATCATAAAATATCATTCCCGATTTTAGTATTTCATCATAGAACACTTTTCCCGAGGGAGTAAATCGTTAACACATGAAAATTTTTATGTGAGTGATTTAATCCCTCGGAAAAAATATTTTGTCTAATAGCAATGACGATTATAGGCGAAGTTTTTTCCCGACTTTTCCCTCGAGGTTACTTCCCATCGTTACCAGTTTACACACGAATTCGGGTAGAAGTACGAAAATTACCACCACAAGAATTTACTGCCACGTACAGGTAACGACGGCACACAGCAGTGTTGGAATAATACCTTCGTGTTTCTCAGCTGATTTCAAAGTTACATTTTTTAAGTTTACACACGACTCGGGGAAGAAGCGCACAGAAAACACTAAGAATTTACCAAAATTTCCCCCCCCCCCCAGAATTGCCATATTGCCACCAACACATGTAGTCGACTATGTGCAGTTGGACACTACGCCACGAAATGAGCGCATTACTATGAAAAGGGTAGACGATTATTGGTCATCACATTACCCATAGAGAACGCAACACACTTTAGCATCAAGCGGAGTGTCGTGAGACCGGAATAAGGAAGTCATTGAGCTCCTTAAGAACGAGGCTTCTCCTTCTTCTCCTTGTACAAGGCGAGAAGAGAGCAACCGGCAACCTTGACAACCTTAAAACGGACACCGGGGATATCACCGACGGCATGACCACGACGGCCGAATCCGGACACGAGCACTTCGTCATTTTCATCGATGAAGTTGAGGCAACCTGAACAAGGCGATAGTCTTATCACTCGAGGGTGGTTGTTGATTACCATCATTGGGGACGAAAGCGGCGATCTTCTTGCCGTTCTTGATGAGCTGCACACGGCAGCACTTACGGATGGCAGAGTTAGGCTGCTTGGCCTCAATACCCATCTTCTCGACGACGATTCCCTTGGCATGGGAGGAGCCTCCGAAGGGGTTGGACTTGAAGACTGTTCCGAGGTTGGCCTTCTTGTAGTCCTTATCGGCCCACCTGAATAGAATGCAATCGAGACGATGAGACGAAGGAGTGGTATGGAATAATATTAATAATAATTACAGACTATCCCCTATTACAAGTTCTTCCTCCTGGTGTTGCGGAGCTTACGCGCGCAGTTGATTCCTCTGGGTTTACCGGATCCCATGACGACACTGGTCGGGGTATACGGCAGACGGCCTCGCGATGATGATCCAAATCGATCACCTGATCGATAGCCTTTTAAAACCGCGCGCGCCCGTTAAACTAGCAGTGGCATCTTTAAAGGTTCTTCACCCGAACCTACTTGGTATCTTTTGTCCTGGGCACGTTATGAATCTTTGCTATTCACCTCAAGATTCTATCTCATGTTTCTGCCACACAGTGAGATAGGAATTTCACTTTGACTCATCCCCGTTTTAAGCCTAACTTCTCTATAGATTCATAGCATTGCAGGGTGGTCGGAGTTGGGTAAGCCTAGGAAACTTCAAGGTACCCTCACGTGGAAGGTAACTCTTGTAGTGGAAAGCTTTCAGATTCATCACTCGATATTTCACCTAATACATAACCGGGAGACGTACTAGATGGCCTAGTATAGATGTTTTCGGATACCAATACGTGACGCCACGCCCTATAGGCTCGGCGAAAAAGGGGAAACAGTTGTGGATAGGGTTACAATCAATGTCCATAGTTTTGTGAAGTAGCGTTTGAAAGACTATGTTGTATGACGCTTATACCATATAAAGCCTAGGAGCAGACCTTCCCGATCGGCGAGATGGTACTCGCTGATGTGACTGTGTACGACTCGATGAGGCGGCTATGCTGAGAATGTGTGGAGGGCATTGCCGCTATCAGGAAACTTCATGATCCTGTTCATCATCACAGTTCGTTCGTTTTAATACAGCGAACAGGGAGTGTCAAACATTTCATAATTAGCTCGCCTAGAGAGCAACAGTTCACAGACCTGACCAGTAGTAAAAGCTGCTAAACGGTGTAGTAGAAGATTTGCTGGAGAACTCATTGATCGGCTTCTACCTCTGTGAAGGAGTCTCTGGTGTAACCGAAGTTTAAACTTGAGCAATAAGGGGTGGGTGATATTGGAGTTTCACCTTAGTGATATGATAAACACTAGTGGAAAACATATCTCACATTTTACTTGGCGAAAAACGATTTTCTTGTAATTCACAAGGAGTATTACACCACTTAACCACGTTAAACGGCACGTCGTGAAACTCCATTTACAATAGATCGGAATTGGCTACGACGAAGGGGATGTGAGTTGGTGGAGGAGTGGTATGAGCAGTAGAAATTATTTTGTCTATAGTCTGTTTTTTGCCATCGACTTCGTGTGACTGTTGAGTCCGTCTATGAACGTTTTTTTTCAAAGGCGATAATTTCTCACAGGAGGCACTCTCAAAACTTCCACCATAAATTCTCCGTATCGCTGGAAAATATTTATATTTTGATTGCGTTTAGTACTCAAAACACGTATGACAGTTCAGCTTTGGTAAATTACAAAATCAAAGGAAGAACGAAGATATCCAAGGAGGTTTGTCACTCGCTCTCAGCAGTTCGGGTTTACCCTTCAGCTTGTATTCCCTGGATTTTGTACATCATCCGGTAATGCTTGTGGTATGTAGACGTAGACAATCTTTGTGTGTAAGCTCATCCGTCCAGTATGGCGCCTGCCAGGGGGTCTGTCTAGGGTTTCGGAGAGGTTCAAGACTTTCTCACTACTAGTGAGAAAGGCGTTTTTCTCATGATTTAAAAAATGTAATTTCACATGTATGTGTTTATCGCTAAGCTGCTCAGTTTTACACTGGAGTTTCTCAACCCGTGAAGTGGTGTAATACTCTGTGAAAAAACGCGATGTTCGCGGTGATATGCAGTAGTCGTGAAATGTGTTTTCCATATCACTAGGGTGGTGAAACTCCAGTATATTTTGTGAAGGTGTGTTAGAGGTTCTTCGTTTGCATATCATCGATGGTCCTCTCCTCCTCCTCTACCATTAAGCACGACATGGAGTATGCTCATCGTTTAGAAGAACTGTATGCAGCAGAAGGAGATGAAACTATGCGAGCTAAGGTGCCTGAGTTTATGAAAAGGTAATGATAAATTTTACTATATACGCCTACAAGTGTTGGTGACAAATTTTGGGAAAATCTTGTTGATGGTTTGTCGGAATTTATACTAAAGGAGTTTCACTCGTTTGATGCGGAGTGGCGTAAAACTCGGTGAAAAACGCGATATTCGCGCTATGCGGTACTCGTGAAATATGGTTTTCACTAGTGTTCTTCGTGGGCTGAGCTGAGGAAAGCAAACATATATTCCTCCAACACTGTGTTGGTTGTCTGTAGACTGAAATTCATCAGTAATTTCAATTCTCGAGGTACTCATCCTGCCCGGCACTCTTCTACCGTTTAGTAAAGGAGAAGTTCGAGAGGATGGCTAATGCAAGGGTAGCTGTAGTACAACCCAGCACAGAACCGACATATGGTAGTAGCTTCTCCTGCGGGAAGTATGTCATGTATAGCGTTTCCCAGACTTTGATAACAATGGAGTTTCACCCCCCCCCCCCCCGTTTTACGTGAAGTGGCGTAAAATTCGGTGAAAAACGCGATATTCGCGGCGTGTAGTAGTCGTGAAATATGTTTTTCATATCACTAGGGTGGTGAAACTCCAATGATGAAGAATTTTCCTAGCATCTACATGGGAAACTGGTTGAAGAATGTGCTCCTAGCCATCTCGAAAATTCAAAATGAGTTCCCCCCCCTGGGAAAATTATAGGTTCCTGAATGATTTCCTCTTATCTTTACGCGCGTCCATGGTCAAATTTATTTTCCAAACTTCCGAGTAAGCTCAGTACAGCAAAAATTTTGTTGGTATTTTTTTCGAAATCGTGGGTGAAATATCCACTAAATGGGTGAAAAATTACGCTTGTCGGAATAAATTTCGCTGCGTTTTGTAGTATTTTTCATATTGTTATGTTCACATCATTTTAGTCGGTGAAATTTTCGATTTTTTTATGGAAATTTCGATGATTTTCATAAATTCACTTGTCATTTATGATTCGTAACTTTTCAGGAGATCCCATGGACGTGATGATGGGTGAAGCAGCGGCAGGGGGAGAGGAGACAGCAACAGCCGAGTTCACGGAGGACTTCCGACCCGATTCAACACTTCTGGAGAAGGGCAAGGCTGAGCCGAGCAAAGGGGTGCGGCAACCCAGCAAGAAAAAAAGAGGAAGTAATGGTATATTTTATGGAAAAATTTCCCCATTTTTTTCATAGCGCTACCACCATTGGACTCCACGGAATATGACGTTTTCAAACGCTACTTTAACACCCTGCGATCTGAGGAAGGTCATATATACACATTGCCGACTTCTGGAGCGCCTCTCAAGTGCGTTTGGTGGTAATATGGATTCATAACGCGAGTGATTGTGACGGTTTGATGGTAGTAAATCTGAGGAGCACGGCACAGATAGATGCCCTTTGGGAAGATGTGGTCAGTGTGGCGGCATGGGACATGGAGCGGAAAAGTGCGATGATAAGAAGGCTGATGAGGATGTCGAGGTGTGCCTCCGTGGAGGTTGATAGTGTTGGTATTGCTGCTGCTGTAGGCTGCTGTGGAGGAATCGGTAGCGATTGTCCTGGGAAAGGGGACAAGTAATGTGTCGAAGGACGAGGCGGCATTTGTGTTGGACTCGCTCAGGTAGGATTAGTATGAACGTCTTCAACTGCATGTGTTGGTGACAATATGAAAATTATGAGAAAATTTTGTGAAATTATGGTTTTTTTCTGTATATTTCTACCCGAGTTTTTATGAAAACTCCTCCGTTTAGTAAGCTCAGCTGAGGCAAGCGAACATATATTCCTCCAACACTGCTGAGGTAGAACGATCAGTGTTGGAGGAATATATGCTTAGTTTCCTCGAGAGGCTCCTCACACTAGCATGGGAACTCACCCACGAGTAGCAGTAGAAATCAACGAGAATTCATCAGAATTTTCGAATTTTCATAAACTATGAAGTTGACAATATTCATATTATGCTGCACTGAGTTTGCATGTTCGTGTTTTACGGGTATGGAGAATATGCACATGGTCAACTACATGTGTTGGTGACAAAAATGTTGGGAAATTCTGATTTATTTTCCTCGAAATCTTCGTCCTGAATCGTGTGTTGATTTGTATAATGGAGTTTCACCACCCTAGTGATATGAAAACATATTTCACGACTACTGCATATCGCCGCGAATATCGCATTTGTCATAGAGTATAACGCCACTTCACGGAAAACGGGTGACGCAGTTGAAACTAAACATATATATTTCAATACTGCTTTTTATAGGTGCATTACGTGTGGGGGACGAGGCCACGGTATGTATTGCAAGGCTAAAAGTAGTTACTCTAAGTAGAGCTTCATTTTTGTGAAAATTTCTGCCAGGTTTCGGACTATGGCAGAAGCCCAGCAAGAGTATGATTTTGGGGGGAATTGAAAAACCAACTTCACAACATCATAATCATCATCATCGGCATAGTAGTGAGAGCCGCACTAAGAAGGTGGAGGAGGAAGAGGCGACGGGAAAGAGCAAGGCGGATGCGGGGTGGGTCGGAGACTGCTGGCTTGGAACATGTGTGGAGTGAGCAGGTCTAGGAGTAGGGAAAAACGGAAGCGCACAAGGTCTAGGTCGAGATCACGAAGGTAGAGGTGGGTTGATATTGACGCTCTGCAGTGTTGGAAAAAATGCACATGGTCAACTACATGTGTTGGGAACAACGAGAAAATTTAGGTTTTTTTTGTACCAAAATTTGTATGTAAAATTCTGTAATAAGTGAGGAAATTTCTGAACTCAAATGAGGAAAGCGAATATACATTTTAACACTGGAGCAGTATGGGAAAAGAAACTACATGTGTTGGTGACAATATGGAAATTCTGGGAAATTTTTTATCGTGTGTAGAATTCTAGTGAAGAAAGTTGTGGGATCAGCCGCGGAAAGTGAAAAAAATTGGATTTTTTCGCCCAGAATTCGTCTACACGCTCCTAAAATTAATGAGAAAATTTCCGAGCATCGCTCCGCTGGATGTTTTAATCAGTATTATTGTGCTTAGATCCAGAACTCACGAGTCAAGAAGAACCAAGCCGCGGGAGTCGACAGAGAGGCATCGCACGTAGGCATTGTTATCGCTATGCATAGGCTAGCAGTTAGTCTTAGACGCTCACCTGAGGGACGGAGTGAACGAGGAAAGTCAACGAAGGATGATAAGAAGGCTGCAAGTACGTTTTGATAGAACATTTATCAACTACATGTGTTGGTGAAAAATAGGAGTCAATTTCGAAGAATTAAAATTTCAAATTAGAGAATTTCGGAATTCAAAAAAGTATTGTTGGCTGGTGTACTCCTGTCGGGCGTAAACTTTGAGAAAACCAATTCCAATACTGCGGAAAAACTATCACTCGCGTCAATTGATTTCGTACGATCTCAGTGCCAAAGCCTGGCGGATCCTTCTTTGCTAACTTACCTCCATTAAAAGAGGATCGACCGGCCCGACGAGGCAATTCACGAAGGGCTGCAGTAGACGCTAAAACTGCGGTGACTGGTGACAGTAGATGGGCAGGTGAGCTGCTGATTGGTGAATCGTCTTGATGTTATTTTCGGCTCAGGAGTGGGCACGGATGGCTCGGCTGGGGGAGAGGAAAGGCAGTGGGAATATGACTCATATGGTAGAGGGTATCATCGTGATTATCAAACCAAGGCGGCGGCGGCGGCGACTGGGGCCCCCGGCAAGGAGTACGCGGGTTCGATCCCCGGCGCCTGCATTTTTTCTGCTCAGCGAATTCGGACGGGCATTAACGTTGAGATCTCGAGAGGAAAGCCAGAGAGCGACTGAGAGTTACTTGAGGCCACGTGAAGGTATCCACTTCGGTGATATAGATCTTCAAAATTCTTCATTTTAGAGTCGGCAGCGGCGCCTACTGCTGCTGCTGCTGTCAGCGGTAGGAAAAGAGGGATAGCCTTCGGTCCAGGTGGAGGGAGAGCTGAGAGAGACTAGTGAGTTCAGTGTGGAAATATATGCTAGCTTTTCTCACCTGAGCTCAGGAGTTTCCTCAATAACTAGAGAAATTTACGCGATATTCGGATTAAAAGTGCGCAGAAACCAATAAGAATTTCCCTGTTGTCACCAACACATGTGATTGACCATAGTTTATAGCGATGTTTCTTTATACTTAGTTATGGTGGAGGAGGGTCTTCGAGGCGGTCTTGGGAAGGCTCGGCTTACGAACAGTAGGTTGGAATCGGCTGAGGTGTAGTTTCGATGTTTATGTGATAGGGACGATCTTACTAGTTGGACACGACGCGGGGATGAGGCGGTAAGTGACCTATTCTGAATCTTATCGTGGGGGCAAGGATAGTATCTTTGTAGACCCGCGTGATTGATGATGAAGCGAGCAATCTGAATGCTCGTCTTATAGAAGTTGACATTACAGACCTGGACGGTAGGCGGAAGGTTGTTCTGCTGACACCCGGCAGGTGAGCGTCATAATCATCATCATTATAACTATCATTATTATCATCACTATCATTATTATCATTACTATCATTATCATTATTATCATCATTACTATCATTATTATTATCATCCCTCTTCCTCAGTACCATGTCCGACCTGGTAGAATGGTATGCAGCTCGAGCGCCAGACCCAGCCAAAGTGAGAGTCGTGGATGTTAACTCTGGCGTTGACTACGGCAATAGGGAGGTGACCGTGAAAAGGCTGGCCGACAATCAACTAGGCCGAGGTAAGTCCACCGTGAATCCGATAGAGTGTAGCTGTCGAGTTCAGGCACCGTTAGAGTCCGTCTGGAAACGTACAGTAGTCGATATTGATATCTGCGGTTTCCATATACTCTGCCGTTCGCTTTGTGTGCTTCCTCGTAGTATATTTTCGTCCATAGTTTGTTGGCGCCTCGTACGTATGTTCTTTGCTACTCCATCGACGTACCGCAGCAAGTTGAACTGGACATGCAGGACATTCCAACGTTTTTTCACGGGGTAAAACGTCTCAATGATTCACGATCGATACTTGCAGATCTACTCACTGGGAACTCCTCTTGTGATTGTAACATTGTTTCGTACATTGCTAAACATGTTGAGCTCAGTCCATGGGGATTACCAACCTTCGGAAGATTTGGGGTGAACGGAGGTAATCTCACTCAATGTCACCACAGTACAGAACGCACATACCAAATCGAAAAGGGAAGACTCGATAAAAATCGTTTTCAAAACTTCACGCGGACTGTCCAAACCGCATATACGAGAGAGCAGTTTACTCGGAGGTGTGATCTAGTTTTGGCTTGAGAAAAACGATGACAGGCGAACATACGATCGCCAACAAGTGTGTGTGTAAGTCCAACGACGACAACACAGGTATTAATATATATAAATTTACAATAGTATTAGATTGACATACATAAATATATATTTTAAAACAGATTATAGGGACAACGGCTTAGATTCGCATACTTTAACCTATATGCATCGTCAGACTCGCTCGCCAATAAGTAGGGCACGAGATTGTGTGAAAAAAATATACATTTTTTACGAGGCTCCGAATTGGTCATATCGTCTACCACATACCATTGGATGAACTTTGTAATACTCATGTGTTCTTTGCTCAGTACTGACGGGCACTGTTGAGAAACCAAAACTGTCATTGGTGTGCAATACGAAAGTACTCCTCATAAAAACGCAACACATATGAGCTCGCCTAGATATTTAGCAGGATTAGCTGTAGCACGAGGGATTGGACAGTAGAAACGATCTAAACATAATACAACTTGAAGGTTTCAGACGATAACGTGATCCACTTTGCTCAGCATTGTGGAGGTGTCAAGCATTGATCATCGCCTAGATCGTTGGCTTGAGCTATACACAAATCATAACAAGTATAGGATTTAAGAGTAGGGACCGATGGTGAGGTCTGAACAGATACGAGTGATCCCGAGCAGTCCCCAGGGAGGACGGACATGATGATGGTATACATTGTCAAGGAGGAACAAATAATAAGAGGGCGTAGTTATAGTCAGCGATTTTTATGATGATGATACTCATGTACAAGTCTTGGCACGATACTTAAGTGCAATTGATAAGTTTCTCCGGTAAAGCAGAAAAGTATTGAGCAATGCCAAGAGGGGTATAACGATCGTAAAGAGAGAGGCATTCAACTCGGGGACTATGCCCATCAATGTCTTGTCGAATAGCATAGTACCACCCGTTAGGAGTACGAGAGTCTCATAAACGAGAACGAGAGAGACCATCGAGACAGCCTCGATCCATCGGGGTTTCCTCTTCTGTTCGAAGCAAGCATAAGCCGCAAAGACCAATAAAGGCATCCGGCAGAGCAGAAGAGTCAGAGTTGGGATAAAACACGATAGAGTCCTCCACCATAACAGAGTGTCTGAGAACGGTTGAGAGCACCAAATTGTGACCGCTCGCCCGACACATGCCAGCACAGTGGGGAGCGATATAATGGCAAGGGTGAGAGCACTCACAGTCCAAGGACGGCTCCTACCCGTTATATACTCCTTGTGACCACGAACATACTCCTCGAACGCTTCGAGGGATCCATACCACTTTTTGATCAAATCTCGGATAAGTAGCCTGTCCTCCTCAAGCAGACATTCGCCGTCCGCAACGGTAAACTCACTGGCTTGTCGGTGTAGAGTTAGTCTATGTGGTAAGTATTCATAGACGATGAATACGCCCAAAAAAGCCGCCATCATGAAGCAAGCCCCTAACATACAGGCGTAGTAGGGGGTCTTCATTTCCATATCAGCACTGACAATACCCAAGACGGAGACAATGATGATGGTGAATACCTCTGCACCAAATATTATGAAAGCAAACTTGGTTTGCCTTATAGACACCAGATGGATCTTCCGCTCGAGACCGTGTTGCTGCAAGAAGCTAGCAACTTCGAAGACACACCAGAGACGCTTAAAGTAGTCGCGCGACCAGAGAATGAGAAGTTCGTTGGACTTGCCGAGGAACGAACTTAGACCTCGTATTCCGCGAAGCTTCGCTACTTGATCGGTCTGGGATATACAACATTTGTCGAGGAATATCATCGCATGCTTATAGCCAGGTATTCGACAACCGAAGAATAACGCCAGGAGGAAACTGATGACAGAAGCCACAAAAGCAAATAGGAATGCGATTCGGTCGGTCACAGCAAAGCTAAGACCGGCACCGACACATATAACCACGGCATTGGCCACAATATATCCTAGAAAATAATACTGAGAGGCGACAAGACCCATGTGCTTTAAAGGTGGATTGGCCGACCACGAATGGCTGACGAAAGCATCGAGATGGTCCACAGACCGTGATAGGGTGTAGGTGTCTTCATTCCCCTGAGAGTCTCTGAAGAGATGTCGCTTCTTAGCGACTGTGCTTAGAGGCACACCGCGGAGATATGGGGACGAGTCGGAGCATCCCATTAGTTGCCTTGTACCATCATCTTGCAGAGGAAGTACGTCAGACAGTTCCATTTCAACAGCCGTGACGACCCCCATACGATAGCCATGAGAAGTGCACACTACAGAGAATCTGTTCTTTTCCCTCCAAATTCCCCCCATAAAACACGCTGTATACAGTGAATCAAACGACCAACGATACCGAAAAACGAGGCGAATTCCACACGTCCGGAGTGGTAGTATTTGAGAAGATACTGGTACTCAGCTCACCAAGAATCCAAGCCCTAGCTCGCTCTATCACGAACAATAATGATACCGCGGCACGGGAGGAATTCTATCAAGGCTTCTATCCTTCTAGCAATGCTACCGCTCCCAGAGAATCATTCCCTCAGTGCGTATTACATTCCTCCACTTCATGATGGTAACATAGGGAAGTAGACGGGGGAGCTTGTGGTAAGCTAAAAGGACGAGAGCAACCCCTCGCGCGAACCGTTAGGGTTATTCACGGCTGACATCCACTGAATGTTAGTCTGATGATCCTTTGATCACCGAGAATGTCCAGAACGTAGCGACTCTGAAGTTGGCGCTTTGTGAACTCGGAGCAGAGCTCCTCGGTATTCACAACAACCTGAGCACTAGTGGTTCGACGCGAACAAATATGACCATAAGAGTGTTCACAATAAGTGTGTAAGTCAAGAGGATGTAATCCTAGGAAGATGACAGTACATGTCTATCTGTTTAATATTCTGAATGTGAAAACAGCTAGTGTTAATGTCTGGTTGTAAACACGGACACGATTCAGAATGTTATATCAGGTCGAAGCGTAACAACCATAAATAGATGTCATCGCCGGGATAGTCTAGCGGTTATGACGTCTGCCTTACACGCAGAAGGTCGCGAGTTCGATCCTCGCTCCTGGTACCATTGTTGTCCAATGAAGTACATTTCACATCTCAGCCAGCAAATGCACGAAGCACGTGAGGTTCAGTCACTGAACTTCAGTGTTGCATTCATAATGAATGATTCATCACAAAGGTCCCCATAATGATTGGATCCGTTTTCTCTTTGCAAAGATATTATCCGACATCTCAAACGAGATGACTTGATTTCGTTATCGTGGATAGAACATGGTGCAGCGTAACGCAAGAAAGGTTTCACGGAGGGGAATCAATAGAGGAGCAGGTAACTATCAACATGCGTGCGTTTCTCGCGAGCAATGCATCGCTAATAACGATTCGTTGTCACTAACCCAAGCTGTGCTGCACTCTCTCCTTGTCTCGGTGGTAACATGAGTGCGCGTTTCAGGATTGACGATCTATGATAGAAGGTCATCCAGTATCAGACGACAGCGGCAGCAAGAAACCTCGAACGCACCCGAGTTTTTAGTAGCGCCACACAAAGTCGCCGCTGGCGAAGATTGAAGACTGTGTCAAACAAGTCTGAGATACGCCGGAGCGTTCGGACAGTCGCTTCCCGCTGGTCAGATGGTGTAGCACTGAAGTTAGACATGAAAGTCGATGATGATTTTACGGTGTTATCGGGAACGTCCCGCCACGAAAACTCACTGCACCTGCGCCATCATTGTGAGCATCCAAATGAGGCCCGACGAAGCACATCTGAGATGTGACAACTCTCAGAGATGTGACATCTCGGAGAGTTGTCGCGGTAGAGGCAAACTGCGGGTGAACATCGAGTATGGTGTAGTTCAGAAAGGACTTTACTGCATGCATCGAAGTTGAGGAAAGGTGAATATAGCGGCGATTAGTCCGCATCACAATGGATGGTCTAACCATTGGACTAGAGCAGCTGAGAGAAGCCAGCGGCTAACAGCTATTCGGGACGAGATCTAACATCCGAATTTCTTAGGGTAGGAGAATCTCCTACCCTGAGAAATTCGAAGATCTCCTAAGGAGATCTTCGGGTTTAATAATAAGGGTGCTTCAATAATATGCTAAGAATATGTGGAGGTCTCCAAGTGCGTCGAGTGCGTGAATCAGAGTAGCAGTAGAATGGGAGTCTGAAACCTTGCCAGGTTAGTGATAGTCTTACTAAAGCTATCATATTGAAATATCAGGGTGAAACTCGACTTCGTTGATGAATTATGAGCTGCACACCATGTATGCTAAAAATATGTGGAGGGGTGTAGTTCCTTGATCCATGTGCTGTCGAAATGGAAGGCGATTGATCTGATCCAAATCCTGAGATCAGGACTTGCAAAATTCGGAAGTGTAATACTCAATGTGACGACTCATCTGACAACTCGCAGGAAGTATGCCCCCAGAGGTTGTTAACTCAACCTTCACTGAACCTTCGAAAAACTAACTAATGAGATAAGAGCCTGAGCTTGAGTGAAAATCCTCGAGCGACCAAGCGAAACCTCTATTATACGAAGCCGACAAGGTGCAGCGGCACTTGCTACTCAATGGTACTGTAACACTACCTCAGCAGATGACAAGGCAGAAAAGAGGTGAAAAAGAAAGGCACCCAGTCTAGCATGTGAGTGTCTCAGACTTGATACCCTTCTATACACCTAACCAGACCAATTTGATAATTCGACTTACGACTACATAGAGTTCAATAGAGATGAATGAAATCACTACATCGTGGTGGAAAGTAGGATGTTCATTTACATGGTTGACGATTACGACAATAGACTCGGCCACAGCCGAAATTGACAACATACGTTAATCCGATCGCAAGCACAGCTAGGCCCACAGACATCCAACGATACGGATCAGGAACGCCAAGCATATCAAGATCGCGTCTACCGAGACTGAACATGATTCCGGTAGTGAAAACATACACCATTATATGGTACAGGCAAGCAAGGACCGCAACGACAAACATTATCACGAACCGGTTCCTCATGATGTGGGTCATTCGCAGACACAATCCCAACACAAGTGGCGTTCTGCATGCTAATAGTATGATCGCCACCAAAGCGTCACGGACGAGCACGTAAGCGGGTAGTCTATCAGAAGGCGTCCCATGACTCGAAGAGATGGAGAGGACGGCCGCAATATGTGGAGCAATCAGGCTGACGTATGGGAACACCAGGAGCGCGAGAGCTTGCGGGACTAGAATATGCTGCCGTGACCAATTTCGTAAGAACATCGTGCGAACATTTCTTTCGAATTCTTGCTCCGAACCGTACCAACCTTCGACTATACCTGTTAACAGTTTCCGGTCGCTATCCCACGAACATTGTGCCGATGCAACGCAGAGAGACTTCAGTTGAGCAATGAGAGCGGACTGGGCAGGTATAAAATATAATAGGACAACCAGACACAGAGCAAAAGATACCAAAACTTCAATCGACAATTCGAAATACACCGTATACCATTGTCGAGGATCGTCCATGGGTAAAACTTCGCCAAATAATCTCACAATGAGGAGAATACCGATCTCGCAGATCGTTACGTAGACGAAAAATCTGAAGTGTGGAACAGATATCAGGCGAGTCGATCTGTCACTGTGGATACGTAGATAACAAGCCAGTTCGAAGACACACCAAAGTCTAGAAAAGTAGTTCGGGGTCCAGAGGATGAGGAGTTGCTTCGACTTTGTAAGGAACCTGTCCATGTTGTATATTCCCTGCTTCTTAGCACTAGCGTCTCCTTGGGGTATACAACATTTGTCGAGGAACACCATCTTCTTATTGCTTCGATTTGGCACAAGATATCCAAAAAAGATACCCAAGAACATTCCCATGATGGCCAAGGGTCTGTACAGCGAGACAGGCCAATATCTGACGAGATGGTAAAAATAAACCCCAAATGACAATGCGATAACTGTGACTAGCATGATAATATAACCAATCTTGACATACACACAGTGATAAATGTAACGTGCTTCCAAAAGGGCTACCGGACCAAGAGTGGCTCAAGAACACATCCAACTCATCGACAGGCTTAGATAGACCAAAAGTCTCGTCCGAACCTTCCGCGCCTCGAAACAAACTCCAGTTTCGACTGATTTTACGCATTTCAACACCTCTCAGCGTCGTGAACTCCGGACCGTAGGTTGATGTTGAATCGGCATGACAGCCCGCGTATTGCTTTATGCTATCCTTGGAATTCATAGAAAATACTCAACAGATAACACTACGAAAATCCAGCCTTGACAGTGTATACAATACACAGCAGATACAGTCTAATAGGATCCCCACACCCGCAATTCATCTAACTGTGGCAAAGAAGCACTTGACGAACTGACTACGGCAATTATTAGTAATCAGTGATTACATTAACCCAACTGCCTGTTCGTGCACGTATGCACGAATCTCGCTCGCCCATTACTCGCTGTGTGCCTCATTCACGGTGGCGCAAGTTGTAAATCTCGCTCGCCCTAAATTAACTAGTCGAAACGTTGCTGGTCGTTACGGCTTTTTCGTGAAGCCTTCCAAGAGCCTTCATTGAGATCTTTGAGTGATCTGCGGGGACTATCTTCTAGTTAGTTGGGGAAGCCGCACATTTCCTACAACCACAGAGTTCGGGTGAGCGCAGCAGAAGGCCAGACCGAAACACCAGACTGCAAACCTGCGGCCCGTAAACCAGGAACCGGAGACTGTCTCGACGGAGGTCGTAGTCTACGACGTCCAGTTCCAGGGTAGGGCCGTAGGTATGTTGAGGTCTATGAGCCTGTACTGCGAGATGACCACGAAAGCAAACTAAAAGCAAACTCGTGCATCATCTCCACCAACTGCACCTCACCCGAACTCGTTTTATCGCTCGAACACAACACGAAAACTTGGACGAGATTCTCGTCACGAGAAACCATGGAGGTGGCCAAACGTACCGGCAGCTATGAGTTAAAGATTCACTCTTTGATCATAGAGCATGATGCTAGTTTTGCTTTGTCCTCCGCACTGTCGTGCAGACTCTCGAGGACCGCCGCGGAACGCCATCTTCCCGCCCTCATGAAGGTCGGGGAGTCTGCTGGCCATGATCTGTGCAGGAGTTGGGCGCCAGTTCGCCGGAGGGTGTGAGTTCCATAGTCGTTCACAGTTTCGTGTCCGATGATGGGACCGAGCCTTTTACGCACCTGATCTAGGAATCGATCATATCTAATCGAGAATACTCGCTCCTCGGGAGAGAATCTTGGGGGCTTGGTTGTTAGGACGGCGTGTACGGGACACAACTCACACGGATCACTCGTCACATCCTCTATCTGGAATGAACGAACAGCCTCGGCGGTACAGGCAATGTACGCCAACTGCCCAACTCCGCACTTATCAGTCTTCGATCGCCTGATTTTTATACTCGAGAGCGGGGTTGACGAAATGCCATCAACATTGGAGAAGGATAGATCACCCCAGCGGAGGTTCAGCAGCCCGCCAGCCCTCAGCAGAGCGAAGATTCCCACCAACATAGCCCGCGAGAAGATGTCTTCACGTGGTAAGTTGTTGCGGAAAACCTTGAGCGACTCAGGCCTCGACACTGGACGCATCTTCCTCACCGGTTGACCTCCCGAAGCCTTGCGCGCTGCTTTTAGAATGTGAGAAACCTGAAATTCTTCTCCTGGTGTTAACCAGAAACCAGCAGCTTTATTTCTCGAACGAAGAGGCTCTGCGGCAGAGCTGATTCAAACGTAGTTATCGAGTTATCCGCATAGCTGCATGAAGTGAGAGCCCATACAAAAAGGGAGAGATCCGGTATGCGAAGAGGAAATGCTTTGCCACCGACGGCTTCTTCAAAGAAGGTAACCGTAGAGTCGTAGAGCTGATTGGTGCTCGATTCGAGCAACCTCTGGTCTTGCTTCGAGCAGCTCGAAGCAAGAGTCTTGCTGCAAGACCAGAGGTTGCGAAGGTATCCGCGAGAGCCAGTGCCTCGTCGCGGTCGAACTGACCCAGGAAGGCTCGTACCATGGCGCGTTTGGACTTAGATGACGCCGGGCGACCGATGCTCTCTGGCGAAGTTGCGAGGGGAGGCGGGTTCGACGTCCTCACATGACCAGTGGAACTGAAGGGGGTAGTAGTGATCCGGCTAACCGAGGCCAGGGCTGGAGTGATCGACTTGGAACGCAACAGCAGAGACTGGTCTGAAACAGGGCGCACATGCGGCACAATTCATGAGAGGGGGGGAGGGGGGAATCACTGCGTATTGGGGAAGGTGAGGATAGCTCTGCTTCGCTAAGCTGGATCAGGATCCGTTTGCACATCTCCTGGGGCTACAATCTCAGATGTAAGAACGTCACTCAAACTTATCATGATGCGGCGCCAGTGAGGTGGGACGTCGTCGAGGACATTTTCGATATGTTGTCTGCCCGCCAGTTCTCGGATGAGGAGACATGAGCAAGGACCAGACGGTCAGTGAAGCGGCCAAACCAGTGTGCTGCACACTGTGTGCAACACCACGAAGGACAGCTGCAAGCGCTGGTTTCGGAGAGTACAACTTACTCAACATTCCGATGACACCTTTGTTATCACAGAATAGCCCTACCGTTCGGTAGAGATATGGAACTGACCTGCCCGGATCGGCCGAAGATACCATCGAGGCCGCCAGATGCAGAGAGACTACAGAGGCAATAAGTTCCAAGAGAGCGATGTCCCTGTGCGATGGCACACCATCATCGCCTTCAGCCAGCAGCTTGGCCCATTCGCATAGGGACTCCGAGTCAGCCTTCAGTTGGAACCATAACCCTCTATCGCCATCGGATACCCAACCCCCCATGAACTTCGTGGACGCGTCCGACGCCAGTACCAGATGGGACCCAGCAGGATGGGGCAAGCCTATTGGCATGCGAGAACGCGGATGCTCGGCTATACCGAGCCAGAAGAGTACCGAACCGAGTGTCTCCGACGAGGGTCTCAGTTTGATCGAACGTAGGTGTTTCTTTTCAAATACGTTCAGAATGGCATACAGCGGCTGCAAGAAGCCCTTCAAATGCCTCATACCTTGGAAGGCAAATACTAGCTTCCCCAGCACCTTACTCAGCGAAGCAGGCGTCATATACCCCTTATTGGCGAAGGAGAGGAGGATGTCTCGAATCGAAGATCATATGTCGGGGTGAACCCCAACTTCCGCCTTACCCCCTGGCAACAACACCGCCTCATAGCCTATGAACTTCACGGCGCGAACGCCGAACTGGCACTTACGCCAGTTTATCTCGAAGTTCAGGCATCGCCAGACCAGTAGCGTCAGGATAGATCCGACTGTGTAGTAGGGCTGCGGTAGCGCCACTAGACCGTCGTCAACGAAGACGAAAGAGAGAAACTTGACGTGGCCGAGGATGAGCCTCAACAGCGAGGCCACTATATGGCTGATCGCCGCGCTGGTGCAGCACCACTGGAAAGGAGAGGTCCCCGCCTTGAAGGGCAATGCCAGGTTATCGTAAACCTCTTGATCAAGTCGAACCGATGTCCTAGCCCTGTCTACATTATTGAGAAACAAGTGACGATACGCTGAGGCGATGTCAAACTTCAGAAACACATAGTCATAGGGGCCCTTGGCCGTCCGATCCCGACCACACTGGCAGGAACTACTCGGTGAACATCCATAAAGCAGATCCGAGAGACCACTGCGGATTTCTTGGCCCCTCGGCAACGAACACGTCTCGGAGAGCTTGCACATACCGTTAAAGCCTGACCGAGAGTGGTCCTCTATCAACCTATAGTCGTGGTCGCCCTTGGGTATGAGGGCCATCTTCGCATAGAGCCGATGGGATGCATAGGCCGCCTGTGCAAGAGAGAGCCGCCTCATGCGACCTAAAGCAACCTCCTTACAGAGTATCGCCCGACAGACTTCAGGCTGAGCCTCAAAAATAGAAGTTTCGATAGGATCGCTTGAGGTTAAAGACCTCCATCGATTTATCGAGGTCCTTCTTCGACTTTGCCTTGAGGAACACACCAGTCGGAGGAATCGGAGGATCCACTCTGAGATTCAGACCCTGATCGATCTCGACGAACAAGTGAGAATCGGGCTCGTTAGTGGCCATTGCCAAGGCTTCCCCAAGCTTTGCTCGAATGGGACTACCACAAGCCGATAGACCGTCAGAGCACTTTAGAGCGGCACAGAGTTTGGGATTCCCAAATTGGGAACCAGCGATTCCACGGCTGACTGGAAGGAATTCTCAAGCTCTTCAACCTGTTCAGGCGAAGACGAACCAGCAAGGTCTCGGAGACAACCTCTAGCTTCCATAGACGAAGCTTCCTCGAGTAAGATCTCAGCCACTCTCGAGGGACCAGGAGAGCACAAACCCGTAAGCGAACGCTGATGGCTTAGTGACACCCAGGCCTGTTCCATCCTGATATCCCATACGTGTCTCGTTCTTTTCAATGGCTTCGACTGCTCTCTGCTGCAGCCATGATACGTGTTCGATTGCCGCTGAGGCCCCAGGCCGTTTCCCGTGATCTGAAGACCACTCGCACTACTGGTGAACTCAACCGGCACATTCTCAAAACGAGAAACCGACGACACGCGTCTTACTATCATGCCGATCACACAGGAGGCCAACCCTCAGGAGTCGAAAGCTCAACCGGACTTACCAGAAGAGGCTTTCTCGTCCTCCTTGCCCGCGACTTTTCGCTGGGTCTCCCCGGAAGGCTTCGCTTCCGCCGTGGACTCACCAGACACCTTTCTAGGGCCACTCGAGTGACGAAAGCGGCAGTTGTTTCCAAAGCCACATTTACCGTCGCGAAAAGCGTAGCAGATGCCAAACTTCGATCCCTGTTTATTCAAGAGGTTGTTGGAGCTGTCCCGAGGCGCCATTCTGGACCGATTGAAGGAGAACTCAGCTAGCAGGGTTGGGTAGGCATCGCCAACGAAGCAGTCACGCATTGAGCGGCTAGACGCCACCAAGGAAGCCACCGATCTTCGGTACTTATCGTAGTAGAGAACCAGTTCTTCAACCGGGAGTGCTCCGTTGAGTGACAGCAACCGCAGAAGATAAGACGCCACATCCAAAGCAGATAGATCGTCCGGATTGACAACAGCTGCAACGAGCAGGGCATACCTCAGGCCGCAGTGAACAAGCTCCTTGATAGAACCGATGTTCTTACTCTTGTTGAGTCCCGAAAAAAGGATTCTGACCTTTCTCGGCTTTGCTGACGTTGAAGTTGAAGAGCTTCTGGCCATTAGTTTTGGTGGAGGAATCCTTCGGCGGCAGGGCACAGAAGGAGAGATAATGAGTCATTATCAATAACCGTTGTCCTTGTCGCGAATTTGGGAGACAATCTCGTTAGAGACGTCGTGTAGAGCAGAGGGTGGTAAAGTGGTCTTGTAGCTAGCGGCCACGGCCGAGATGAGCTGAGGCACGTCGAGGGAGGAGACGGACTGCTTGAAGTTCAAGCAGTCCGTCTCCAGTTCAAGCCTTGAACTGGGAGTCGATCGCCACTTTACGACGCTTCTTAACGAAGGCAGCGATATCAGCCCTCACCGCTGACATGGCTGCGCCTGCCGCGATCGATAGACCCTCACAGGCTCCGTCGAAGAAGATGGAAGACAAATTGCCGATGAGACTTGTAGAGGTGAGACCATGGCGAAAGAGTGCCTCCAGGATCTCCTTCTCGACATCGGAGGACGGGCAAACCGAGTGCACGATGGAGCGTACATCTTCGTTTACTTCACACTTGTTGGCGTTGTCTTCGGCGGGAAGGAATATTTACGTAAATAAGAGCAAATGCGTTGACACAATTCATTCTTGCAAGCCTCCGCGGGGATCATATTGCATTTGAGTGCTTCCTGCTTGCTGAATAATTCAGCAAACTGTTTGCTGCAAACAGGAAGTTTTCAAATAATTCACTAATTCAGCCTTAATTAACTACTGCGAACTCTGCCGCGCATCGTGCTGGTCATTATATGCGAGTGAATTCATATACCGGCGACCGTCAACAGTAGCTCGTTCGATTATCGGGTAATCATTCCCCCTTTATGCTGCATCGTGACGGGCCTCAAGATCATCGTATAATACGATTGGTATTCCATCCCTAGCTTAGATTTGGAGGCCGACTCCACTTGAAATCAATAGAGTCTATTGAATAGACTTCCTCTGAGAAGGCCTCGAAGTGGGAGCTTCCATTCAAACATTTACCGGAAAGAGTGGGCCATCCCGATTCGGGATTCCCGAATCCTACATTGTAGAATTCAGGATGGCTAAGTGTAGAATATACACTGAGCTAATCATCAGCTGACAAGGGCAAGGTCATTGCCATTCCATTTTGGATCAAAGTCCCTGACAGTCTCGCCTGGTCATGGTCCGCAATAGACCGCCCACCTAAGACTGCCAGTCATGCTGAGCTTCAGCAGCTGAAGATTCTGCAGTCTGTTCGATTTTGAATCAAAATGCTGCATTAAATGCAGCATTTCAAATGCAGTGCATTTCCTCGTTTCGGAGTCCGAATTTTGATAGTCCGAAATTCGGACTATCAAAATTTTTGATAGTCCGAAACGAGGAAATGTTGCAAGTTTAACTTACAACATGAAAGTTACAACTTGTTACTTCGCTAATTCAACGCTAAGGAATCTGGAACCTCGAACATTTTACATGGGCCTCGGGAAGCTTTTAACCGGGAAAGAACTGCCACAGGGGAAGTCCCCACTGATCTGGGCCGATCTGAACGTACATTCACGGGGTACTCAGGTCATCGCTACTTCTTTGGAAGCTAAGTCGTCTCGCTTGTCCTGAAGTCCAATGAGGTGTCACTAGCATCCAAGGAGTCTAACATAAAACGTGTTGTCCTCGCTTCGGCACTATACGGTCTGGAGACTGCTCCCTACCATGAAAAGTCGTTGAGGCGTCTCGGCGGGCTCCCAAATCGCTGTAGGAGAATGTCCTTAGGACTGTCCCTCAGAGATAGGGTGCATGGAGAGCAACTTTGGGAAAGACTTCCTCTTGTTGATCCGAAACATGTTTGCTTCTCACAACGAAACCCGCTGATGGTCTTGTGGTGAGATCTTGTAGGCTCAAGCTTATTAAGAGACGTGGTAGGCTACGATCATCGTAGTACGATGTGGCAGAGCCAACCTGTTCAGGCCTTGCAAGTCACTCGTTGAAGCACTTGTGGTGGCTAGGGAGTTATATAAAACTCCTATCCCTACTGTGTCGAGAGCGCCGAAAATATTTACTTGTTCACGTTGTGAGCGCTGTGGCAAGAAGTTGAGCTCTGCGTAGCAGAAGTGGCGTTTAAACGAGCCAAGCGGCAAGAATATGGGCGACAAGCCACACACTGAACTGAATGAGAACACAATAGCCTGAGCGGTGCGATAAGTCGCAAAAATTCAAGCTAGTCAAGCTATTGTGGATAATACTCAAGACCAAATATATCAAGTGATATACATATTTTTTTTTCTTTGCTCGAGTAGAGGAGCACTATAATAACACCTAGGTGTTACTTATAGTGACTGAGCACTTGCCGGCTGAGGATCTTCGGAAGATCATCTTCCTCAACCGACAAGCACTGCGATGTATACCAACCCCCTCTACTCTTCAGCCACTCCCTACCATCTGTCTTGAAGTTAAGACTCTAATCTAATGCTTAATAATGACGTGGTGTTGAGTTCCAAAGTCTCCAAGACTAAACATTCTCCACTGCACGCTGCAAGGGAGTTTAAATATCCCTAGGCTAGCAATCTTGCTAAGCAACTGGAGGTGTACGACGCCGCGTCGTCGACGCGCACGCTGCGCGTCGCAGCCTCCATGATGGAGGCTCCAATCCCTGTGACAGGTGACCAGTAGGGGCTGGTTCCATCAGACGTTCTGCCTTTTGGGTCCGGCCTCTGGGGATTTGTAGTGGGTATGGACATGCAAGTCCCACAGTATCCTCCTGGGGGCCACATCTCTTAAGGTTCTCCATAACTGGGTTCCCCCCACAGGCTGGTAAATGCGTCAAAAAAGTTCCCAAACTTCAAGTTTTCAAGCTGCATCATCGAAACTGCAGTTCCTCAATCCATATGCTGTCGAGATAGGAGGCGACTGATCTGATCCAAATCCTGAGATCAGGACTTGCAAAATTCGAAAATAGAACACTCAATGTGACGACTCATCTGACAACTCGCAGGAAGTATGCCCCCAGAGGTTGTTAACTCAACCTTCACTGAACCTTCGAAACTCTTACTAATGGGATGAGAGCCTGAGCTCGGATGAAAATCCTCGCGCGACCAAGCCGACAAGGTGCAGCGGCACTTGCTACTCAATGGTACTGTAACACTACCTCAGCAGATGACAAGGCAGAAAAGAGGTGAAAAAGATAGACACCCGGCCTAGCATGTGAGTGTCTCAGAATTGATACCCTTCCATACACCTAACCAGACCAATTTGATGATTTGACTTACGACTACATAGAGTTCGATAGAGATGAATGAAATCACTACATCGTGATGGAGAATAGGATGTTCATTTACGTGCTTGAGGATGACAACAATAGACTCGGCCACAGCCGAAATGGGAAACATACGTTAACAATTAACGGTTAACCCGATCGCAAGCACAGCTAGGCCCACAGACATCCAACGATACGGATCAGGAACGCCAAATATATCAAGATCGGGTCCACCGAGACTGAATATGATTCCGGCAGTAAAAACATAAACCATTATATGGTACAGGCAAGCGAGGACCGCAACGACAAACATTATCACGAACCGGTTCCTCATGATGTGGGTCATTCGCAGACACAATCCCAACACAAGTGGCGTTCTGCATGCTAATAGTATGATCGCCACCGAAGCGTCACGGACGAGCACGTAAGCGGGTAGTCTATCAGAAGGCGTCCCATGACTCGAAGAGATGGAGAGGACGGCCGCGATATGTGGAGCAATCAGGCTGACGTATGGGAACACCAGGAGCGCGAGAGCTTGCGGGACTAGAATATGCTGCCGTGACCAATTTCGTAAGAACATCGTGCGAACATTTCTTTCGAATTCTTGCTCCGAACCGTACCAACCTTCGACTATACCTGTTAACAGTTTCCGGTCGCTATCCCACGAACATTCTGCCGATGCAACGCAGAGAGACTTCAGTTGAGCAATGAGAGCAGACTGGGCAGGTATAAAATATAATAGGACAAGCAGACACAGAGCAAAAGTTTCCAAAATTTCAATCGACAATTCGAAATACACAGTGCACCATTGTCGAGGATAGTCTATGGGTAAAACTTCGCCAAATAATCTCACAATGAGGAGGATACCGATCTCGCAGATCGTTACGTAGACGAAAAATCTGAAGTGTGGAACAGATATCAGACGAGTCGATCTGTCACTGTGGATACGTAGATAACAAGCCAGTTCGAAGACACACCAAAGTCTAGAAAAGTAGTTCGGGGTCCAGAGGATGAGGAGTTGCTTCGACTTTGTAAGGAACCTGTCCATGTTGTATATTCCCTGCTTCTTAGCACTAGCGTCTCCTTGGGGTATACAACATTTGTCGAGGAACACCATCTTCTTATTGCTTCGATTTGGCAAAAGATATCCAAAGAGGATACCCAAGACCATGCCCATGATGCCAAGGGTCTGTACAGCGAGACAGGCCAATATCTGACGAGATGGTAAAAAATAAACCCCAAATGACAATGCGATAACTGTGACTAGCATGATAATATAACCAATCTTGACATACAACACAGTGATAAGTGTAACGTGCTTCCAAAAAGGGCTACCGGACCAAGAGTGGCTCAAGAACACATCCAACTCATCGACAGGCTTAGATAGATCAAAAGTCTCGTCCGAACCTTCCGCGCCTCGAAACAAACTCCAGTTTCGACTGATTTTACGCATTTCAACACCCCTCAGCGTCGTGAGCTCCGGACCGTAGGTTGATGTTGAATCGGCATGATAGCTCGCGTATTGCTTTATGCTATCTTTGGAATTCATACAAAATACTCAACAGATAACACCTTCGAAAATCCAACTTCGACAGTATATACAATACGGATACAGTCTTATAGGCTCCCCACACACGCAATCCATCAAACTGTGGCAAAGAATCACTGATTACATTAACCCAAGTATCGAGTCATGCGGGGATATTGCGGACGTGGTAGTTCAGACGATACCGTACATGCAGGAAACCGCAACGCTAGCAAGAATAAGTCGACAGGCTCACAAATCTGCGAAAACTGGAATTGATTCAAACGACTGCGCATCAGCCAACAGCGTGATGATGAAGTCAGAACGAAACTGTGGAGCTTTCTCAATTGT